AAGAAAAAGAGCTCTAAAAGAACAGCTTTGGGTAAAACTCAACCTGCTCCTGGAATTCCTAGGAATAACTGACCAATGTACTTGTGGCCACTAAATTTGTTTGTTTTGGTGCCAATTTGGGGCCTAGGTGCTAGCCCTGACTCCCCCAAAAAAGTCTCCAGACAGCACTTTATCATTTGAGCCACAGCTTCACTTATAGCTTTTTTGGTGATTAATTAGAGATACGAGCCTCATGGACTTTCCTCCCAGACTATCTTTGAACCATGAACCTCAGATCTGAGCCTCCTGAGAAACTAAGGTTACAGGTATGAGCCACCAGCACCTGACTCTAAGTTGTTTTTTTACATTTTTGAGCTCACTTTTATCTGTTTAAATTGACATTTGTGGAATGTCTTACTTTAAAACGTGTGTGTATGTGGACATCTTTAGGATAATTATTATAAAATTAATGTAGAGACACTCTTGCATTCCTCCCTCTCCTCTCCTGCTGCCACCTCTAAGAAAATTTGCTTTCCAAGTTCTTGAAAACTAGTTAGATCTCATCCAGGTCTAATTAAAATGTAGGCATCCAGGAATTAACTCTGAAATTTAGGACTGAAGGGAGAAAAAAAAATTCTTTTCTCTTCTTCTCTTTCTTTCTTTCTTCCTTTCTTTCTCTCTCTCTCTCTCTCTCTCATTCTTTCTTTTTGGCAGTAGTAGGGTTTGAACTCAGGCTCTTTTACTTATGACTGGTGCTCTACCACTTGACCCTACCTGTAGGCCAGCTTTTTGTTGGTTATTCTGGAGATGAAGTCTGATGTACTTTTCTGTCCAGATCTTCTGAACTGAGGTTCTGCAGCTCTCAGCCTCTGCCTGAGTAGCCAGCTTTACAATCATGAGCCACTGATACCCAGTAGACATTCTATTGGTAAGTGCATTTTGAATTCAACTAACTTAAAATTGGATCAATTAACAAAGGTGGGTCTTATAAATTGTTTTGCATACAGAAATAGCTTAAGAATGATGTTTGCCTGAATTCAAAATTTTACACTCAAAATGCAAATTAGAAAGAAATAGAAAAGAATCAGCAAGCAGAATAAACATAAGAATGTATGGGAACATGTTTTTGAAAAAAGAAAGTTAAAAGGAAAAGGAAATGCTTTTGAATGAGGAAGGATTTTTTTTGTAAAGTAAATTTTCTCCTAAAGGATTGTTGTGTCAATTCCAAAACTGCTTTTCGAATTTTTAATCACAGCTATTCTAAGTTTTTGTCATTTCCAGCCTGACCCTTCTCTGGATTATATACATGCAGCCAAACCTATGGAAAACGACTGTAAAAGTATTAATTTGTAAAAATTATTTAGCTTTTTATTTGCTTTTGTTGGTTTTGGTTTGTTTTTTTTTTCAGATAATATTTTGTTGTTGTTGTTGTTGTTGTTTTTCTTTTTGATTCCAGTCCTGGGGCTTGAACTCAGGGCCTGGGCACTGTCCCTGAGCTTTTTCACTCAAGGACAGTGCTCTACCACTTTGAGCCACAGCACCATTCCAGTTTTCTGGTGTCCAATTGGAGATAAGAGTCTCATAGACTATCCTGACTCAATCCTCAGATCTCATAGAGGCTAGGATTACAGCCTGAGCCACAAGCACCCGCTCCAAAGTACAACTTCTAACAATAGTAACTTAAGCAGATCTTTTGAGATATTAGGACACTACCTACAGAATAGACAGAATTAGACTTAATGATGTCCAGCCTAAGGCCTACTCCTCCAGAGCTCTTTTGTTACTTAATTGGCACTCCCACCTGAACTGTTGCTTCCCTCTGACATGGGAATGAAGGATCCTATCCAGGAAAACCTCATCTTAGTGATGAGAGACCAGAATGGAAACACTGTTGAGACAGTTTGGAGGAAAACTGCTCAGGAAAGGGTGAAGTTGTCAGACTCCAAATGGAATCACTTATATCAACCTTCCGAAAGTAACTCTTCTCTCTGGGCTGGCCTCAAATCATAAACCTCTGTTCTCTGCCTCCTAAGTAGCTAGGATTACAGGTGTGTGCTACCAGTGCCTGGTCCAAATTTATCTTTTGAGTAGTCTATGCTCAAGTAGTTACTTAAAAGAGGATACCCAAATGTATTCTTCTCCTGATTTATGTAACTGTAACCTCTTTATAATAACAATGTAAAAAAAAAAAAAAGAAGATCGCCTGAACAATTTGACTGTCTTCTGTGATTCTCTCTTCCCAGCTTTATAACAGTAGGGGTTTTTTTTAGTTTAAGAAGTATTTTTGGCTTATATATTTCAACCATTATCTCTTTCTCACATATTAGCTTATCAAAGCCGAGAAACCTGCAAGAGCCAATTAGCCAACACCTAATTCCCAAAGCACTGAAAAACGTTCAAACAAGTGGAAATTGTAACAGATGTTTAAAAGCTGGTTTTTGGTGAAAAGCCCCAACTACTTACTTGGATGCACAAGCTAACTAAAAGCTTGTCAATCCAGCCTCTTGTTATACCTGTGTCAATCATTCTAAGTGAATCTTCACAGTCACCTTGGAATCTAGGAAAGGACAGGACTGATTGGTGACATCTTTATAACAAGAGATGGAAACAACGGTCTGGCAGGACCAAATGGATACACACCAATGAGGACAGTTACTTACACAATGAAGCAAGAGGGATCATCTCATGGGGACCAGATATTACTCTCAATTGATAATAAGATCTCTGGAACTTCAGAGAATAAAGACTGAGAGTATGGCTAAACCCATGATCCCACATGACCATCCTAAGACAAAAGACTATCAAGACCACCTGCTACCACTTCTGACCACCAGGATACACTTTTGACAGACTGTTTAATAACTGCATATCTTTCTCCCTCAGCACCCAGCTCTTTGTCTACATACACTTATGCTCATGTCTGTATCCTGAAGATGGCTGAAGTGCTTTGCCTTTTCCCACAGCTGTTGACACCATGTAGTAACTCTCCTTCCTTTGCTTTTCATCATTATCTCTTTATTTGGATTATAGGGGTCAGTGGCCAACCCTGACACAGAATCTCAAGGTTTGCAACTAAAGCCTAAAACTCCATGTTCAGCATATTTAGACTAATCAGTGGTTTCATCTGTTATTGATATGGAAGAAAATAAGGTACAACTTTATAGTTGAGTCCCAAAAATCACACCAGCAACTTTGGGAAGGCATTTGTGAATGGTGTTAAATGAGGTAGTAATCATTAAAATCGAAAGCTTACTGAATCAGAGCTGGGGTAGGGATCCATCATGCATTTTAAAATAAGCGCCCCACCCAGGAGCTGGGAAAGTGCCTCAGTGATAGAGTGCTTGCCTTGCATTCATGAGGCTCTGGATTCGATTCCTCAGCACCACATAAACAGAAAAAGCCAGAAGTGGTGCTGTGGCTCAAGTGGTACAGTGCTAGCCTTGAGCTGAAGAGCTGAGGGACAGCATTCAGACCACGACCAACAAAAAATAAATTAAAAAATTAATTAATTAAAAAATAAATTAATTAAAAATAAGCCTCCACCTGGTTCAGGAATCAAGATACAGCTGAAGTTTTCAGCACTGCCTGCTAAGTGCCACTGCAGTGATTCCGGACACCCAGGTCAGGCAGGGGTCAGGCCTCATCCGTAGGTGTGTGTCTTATTCATACCTCAGAATTAACATGAACAGGTGAAGTTTCTTCATGAATTTGTTGTGACTGGTATGCTTGCTATTATAGCCAAATGTAAATGTTACTATGGTTACATATTTATATAACCTCACTTATATACTTGTGAAGTTGTTTCCATCAGTCACTTAAAAAATATTTCTTCCAGGTGTCAAGGCTCAAGCCTGAATCCTAGTACTCATGAGTTTGAGATCTGAGGATTGCAGTGCAGAGCCAGCTTGGGCAGAAAAGTCCCTGAAACTCTTATCTCCAATTAATCAGCAAAAATCTGGATGTGGAGCAGTGGATCAAGGAGTAGAACACTAGCCTTAAGCAAAAAAGCTCAGGGACAGTGCCCAGACCCTGAGTTCAAGCTCCAGGATGGACTCTCTCTCTCAATATAGATAGATCGATAGATAGATAGGATAGATAATGTATAAACAGGCATGTATATTAATTTATTTTAAATTTTATTTAAAAACTTAGAAAACTTCTATCAGCCTAAGTTTTCTAATAAAATTTAACAAGTTTTAACTGGACAGTCAACTCACAACGTGTGTTTGCAAATTCATCTTTTCTAGTGAGGAAAGGCACAGCCAGTCCTCACCTCGGGTAGTTATTACCTCACATGAAACGATTCCATTTCTAGAACTGCCTTCACCTCTTTGAGCACAATGTAAAAACCGAACTTGGGAGACGCCAATGGAATACACTGAGAACCATTTAAAAGATACTTGGGTAGTGGGTTGAAAATATGTATTTTTTTTTCTTCCTGTTAAGCCTTTCAAGTTCAGGGTGAGCACCAGCCCTTGGATCCCAGGTTCTGGCAGGGCCGACTAGGTAGTACGAATCCTTGGCCCTGCAAGGAAACCGGCCTTCGGATAAAACTTCCCCCAGACAGCCCCGCGCCCCACGGCCAGGAGTGACGCTCGCGTAACCGAACCCCCGCGACGCCCCGCCCCGCCCCGCCCCGCGACGCCCCGCCCCGCCCCGCCCCGCCGAGGGCGCACCCGGGCCCACGCGGCCCCCTCGGCCCGCCAGGCGAGGGGACACCCGATCCCCAGAGGAGCGGAGGAGCCAGGATAGCCCCAACTTCGGTTTCTGCCTCCGAAGGCAGGTTCCCGTACCCTACACACTTTTTAACCTCAAAACGTCCGGCCTCTCGGAGGCTAGTGGAAGACGACACGGATACGCGTGACGTGACAGCGACGTACTGTTCTGTGGACACGTCCGCGGCCGTCCCCCAGCGCGCGGCCTCACTGACAACTGCGGAAGCGGCGCGCGCGGCTGGAGGGGGCGGGGCTGGGGCGCGCGCGCACGTCCGGGGGAGCGCGCGCGCCGCCGTCCGGCCGGGCAGAGGTGGTGTGAGAGGCGGGGTTCTGAGTCGCCGGGCTCTACCTGAAGGGCTCGGTGCGGAGTGTGCTGCGGCGGTTCCCGCGGAGGCCTCCTTCCGCCGGGGGGGTCATGAGAGGTCAGGGCTGCGGGAAGCTGGCGGAGGAGGGGAGCGGGGCCGCTGAGCGGGGCTGGCGGGGAGCAGGCGGGGCTGGCGGGGAGCAGGCGGGGCTGGAGGCGCGGACGTGGGTGGAGAGCTGTCCCCGGAGGTTCCGGGAAAGTTTCTGGTGTTCGCTTCTCGCCCTTTTTCTTCCCTTCGTCTTTGGGTTCTGGCCCGGCGGAGATCGGGAGGGCTCTGCGTTGTTATTTACAGCCGAGGCCACCGTCCTGCCCCGGATCGCTGGAGGGGTTAGAGGAAGGGAAGGGCACCGGGGCACCGGGGCACGGGAGCCTGGGCCCAGCCCCCAGCGGGAGTGCTGAGCGCCCCACGGGGCGGGCCGGGCCGGGCCCGGGGCGTCCTCCTGCAGAGACTGAACCGGCTCCGCCGCCAGGGCAGCTCTGCGCCCCTTCCTGGCTTTGGGGGGGTGGGGGAACCCTTCCCGGATGACGTCTTTTCTGACCCCTGCACACTACCGATGGTGTGGTTTTTGCACTAACTCCATATTCAGACTACAGCCTCACCTAGCAATTACAGGGTGACGCCCCCAAAGTATGCCTGGGAATCATCTTTTGAGAAAAGTAATGTTCCTGGTAGCACTGTTCCTTACTGAAAAAAACAAACAAACGTTCCTGGCTTTAGAGAAGCTGTTTGACAATAAAATGAAACGCGTAGGTCACTTGAGATTTTGTTATCTCTGTTGACACTTAAGGCATTGAAATTTAATTTTTTAAAAAATAATGTTTCTTCCTAGTATTTAATAGCACTAAAATGCTTGCTCATTATTTTTATGCCAGTACTAGGGCTTGAACACATAACCTTGAGGTATCAAGCCTTCAGATTTTTTTTTTTTAAACTCACAGGTTGGCACTCTACCACTTGAGCCAAGCCTAGAGTCAGCTTTTTTGCTGGTTAATTGGAGAGGGAGTCTTGAGGACTTTTCCTTGAATGCTGTGCTCAGATCTCAAGTCTCCTGAGTAGCTTTACAGGTGTGAGTTACTAGCACCAAGCTTATGTTTCTGTTTTTTCAACACACTATGAAACTTCTTTGTTGTAGAAAACATCTAAAATGAAACTGCTCCACTTGAGGAAAAGAGCAAGTGTCTCAAAGTATTTCGTGTGAGCGCTAGTACTCTATTAACATCTGCTGGGCACATTTATTACTATTTTGCAGATACCTTCTAGCATTAGATAAAGGGAGGGCAATTTTTCAGTCTGCAAATGTTCCTTCAAACAACAACAACAAAGAAAAAAACAAAAGACTGGATAGGGCACTGAAGGAGGAGGGAGGAATTAACAGTGAAGGATAACCTGAGAATTTATCAGTGATTATCAGCCACTCGTTTAGTGACATGGACACCTAGTAAGCATCATATTTTCTGTGTGTTTTTTAAGGTGACAGAGCCCTGAAACAAAGAAATCTGGATCAGAAGAAAAGTATCAAAGGGCCATGCAAGCCAACTGTAACCAATTGTACAGTCCTCCTGGAACTGCAAGTGGTGAAGATGCCTCAGCCTCCCAGTGTGTCCATACATCAAGACTGACAGGAGAAGTTTCCTGTCTTCATTCTGGAGATATTCATATCCAGATCAACTCCATCCCTAAAGAATATGCTGAGAATTCAGGCTCCAGAAATATAAGGTCAGGCGTCCATAGCTGTACCCACGGATGTGTACATAGTCATTACCAGAGTCACTCCCGCGGTGAAACAAGACAGCCTGATAATATTGCCACCGAGTCTGGAGAACATGGAAGTAGCTCCTTCTCAGAGTTTCGCTCTCTCTTCAAGTGGTTGCAAAAAAGTCTTCCTTATATTCTGATTCTGGGTGTCAAACTTGTTATGCAACATATAACAGGTAGGACCTATAAAACATTGGCTAATTGCTAAATTCAGGAAACATTTTTTTCTTTGTTGGTAATATACGTTAACCTATGCATTTCAGTTACTTATTTTCTCTTGTTAGCTTTTAAAATTGAATGTTTCCTTTAATTCATGTTATTATTAGCTTATATATTTGCTTTTTTTTCATTTCAATTAATTGGAACTTATTTTCTAACAGGAATTTCTCTTGGAATTGGGCTGCTAACAACTTTTATATATGCAAACAAAAGCATTGTAAATCAGGTTTTTCTAAGAGTAAGTATAACAAGCAACTAAAATATTATTAACTGTTTCTCCAGAATTAGAAAGATCATATTGAAATAGAAGTAACTTCTGAGAGAAACAGCCAGTAATAGGATAATCATAATATCCTTGACATATTAATTTTGTTATCTAAATGACCTGTAATAAATTACCTGTCTTAATGTTGAATTGCCTCACCTTATTTTCTTTGTATGTTTTCCTAATAAAGAAAAAATAGTAAGATAAAGGTTTAGACCATGCTATTTGAAACAGTTTTGCAAGGGCCTTTATGTTTTGTGAGTTGAGTTGAACATACTAAATAATTTCATTATAAACTTTAGTACAGCCATGTGCTGGTGGCTCATACCTGTAATCCTAGCTACTCAGGAGGCTGAGATCTGAGGATCACAGTTCAATACCAGCCCAGGAGACTCTTATCTCCAATAAACCACCAGAAAAACCGGAAGTGGCGCTGTGGTTCAAGTGGTAGAGTGCTAGCCTTGAGCTGAAGAGCTGAGGGACAGCGCCCAGGCCCAGATTTCAAGCCCTATGACCGACAAAAAACAAACAAAAAACAACCTTTCGTACCTATAAGATATCAACTGAATAAATTGTAGTACTGAATTAGAGAACTGGGTATTGAAATGTTTATGTCTCAGAAAAAATTAAGTTTTTCTTGAAAGAGTCTTAATCATAATAGGAGAAATTGGAAGAGTTTATAAAATTTCACCTACTTAAAGCTACTATAAAGGAAGGACTATATCTATGTAAAAGTATAACCTACTAAACAGCAATGCATTTAATTCATGGTTTAAAAGTTAATACAGGTTGAGTATCCTTTATATGAAATTCTTGGAACTAAGTGTTTCAGATTTTTTTTTCATACTTTTGAATATTTGCATATACATAAGTTATTTTGAGGGTAAGACCTAATTCTAAACAAAATTCATCTTTAACTTACATACCCCTTATACATGTAACCAAGAAGTAATTTTATACAGTATGTTTTTAATATACCTGTGATTTTAATGTGGCATAATATTCAGGTATGGAATTTTTCCATTTTTGGTTTCATGTTAGTGCTAAAAACTTTTGTGTTTTGGTTTGTTTAGGATTTCTGATTTGGGGATTAGGATGTTCCACCTGTAAAACTAGTCATTAAAACTTGAAATTAAGAAATTAAAAATATTAAGCCAATGCTGGTGGCTCATACTTGTAATCAGGAAGTAGAAATCTGGAAGATCATTGTTCTAAGCCAACCAAGACATTGTTCAAATCTATGAGATTCCAAAGTAACCAGTAAAAATCAAGACTAGAGGTGTGGCTCAAATGGTAGACTGTAGCTGAGTTAGGCCCTGGTTCCAAGCACTAGTTCTGACAAAAATAAACAAAAGTAAATATTTAAACTGATTTTCTTAATTTTTAAAATTCTGTTTTGTGGGGGAGCCACAAAAAATAAAGGCGCAGAGGTATCCCAAGTTTGTTTTGAACAGGTCCTGTATTTCAGTGTACCTATTTGAAATACGTCACATTTTTCATATAATGAAAAAAATTGTATTTTAAAAATTTGGCTATTGAGCACAAAGAGGCTCAGGGATATCACCCAGGCCCTGAATTCAAGCCCCAGGACCAGAAAAAAAAATTTTTTTGCTAAAGCATTTTGTTTTGTTCTCTAAAGAGATATAGAGAAGTGTTTGTGATAGTAAGGTATAATTTAAAGATATTTTAGCTGGGCACCAGTGGCTCAAGCCTGTAATCCTACTCAATGAGTTATTGATTAAGAGGGTAATGATATTTGAAATTCTGGCATAATTCAGAGTAACAATTTGTAAAATTGTTTATTTTTCAGGAGAGGGCCTCAAAGATTCAATGTGTTTGGCTACTGGTATTCTTAGCAGGATCCTCTCTCCTTCTATATTACACCTTTAATTCTCAGTCACTATATTACAGGTAATCAGAGGTCCTACTAAACATTTTAAATATAATCATATATTCCATAGCATTTGAATGTTTTACCTGTACACAATGCTTACCATGTACTTCAGTTTATTTCTTTATAGAGCTGGGATGTGAATTTAGGGCTTGTTGCTTGTTAGGCAGGCAGTCAACCACTTGAGCCAGGCCTTTAGTTATAGTTCAGTTTTTTTTGGGGGGTGGAGGGTGGGGTCCGGTCGTGGGGCCTGAACTCTGGGCCTGGGTGCTGTCCCTCAGCTCTTCAGCTCAAGGCTAGCGCTCTACCACTTGAGCCACAGCACCACTTCCGGCTTTTCTTTTTGCTTATGTGGTACTGAGGAATTGAACCCAGGGCCTCATGCATGCAAGGCAAGCCCTCTACCACTGAGCCACCTTCCCAGCCCAATATCGTTCAGTTTTTATATGTCTTTTCATAATTGCAAACTTTAAATGATTGACTTATATTCCAAGGGCCTTGGCACACGACATGTGCTTAATGGTTCTTTTTGTTGTTAGTGTTTTTTGGTTTTGGGTTTTTTTTAATGGTAGTAAGGCTTGAAATCATGGCCTTGTACTTGCTAGGCATGTTCTCTAGCACTTAAGCCAAGCCTCCAGCCCAGTATTTAATATTTTTGAAAACTTTTGTTGTTGTTGAACCATTATTTATTAAGTACCAGTTGGTGGTGGTTGTTTTTATTTATTTGTTCCTAGAAGAATACTCATTAAGCTGGGCGCGGGTGGCTCACACCTGTAATTCTAGCTACTTGGGAGGCTGAGATCTGAGGATCACAGTTCAAAGCCAGCCCAGGCAAGAAAGTCTGTGAGATTCTTATCTCCAATAAAACCACCAGAAAAACTGAAAGTGGCACTGTGGCTCAAGTGGTAGAGTGCTCACCTTGAGCTGAAGAGCTGAGGGACAGCGCCCAGGCCCAGAGTTCAAGTCCCATGACTGACCAAAAAAAAAAAAAAGTCATTAAAAGAAGTGTCTGGGGGCTGGGAAGGTGGCTCAGTGGTAGAACGCTTGCCTTGCATGCATGAGGCCCTGGGTTCGATTCCTCAGCACCACATAAGAAAAAAGAAAAAAGCCGGAAGTGGCACTGTGGCTCAAGTGGTAGAGCGCTAGCCTTGAGCTGAAGAGCTGAGGATAGTGCCCAGGCCCAGAGTTCAGGCCCCACGACCGGACCCAAGAAAAAAAAAAGTGTTCTGACTTCAGCATTAATCAGATAATTAGAAGCGCTAATCAGTAGAATCTGAAATATAGATCAATCTGGAATATAGTGTATAGGTGAAGCCAATAAACTTATGGAATGAATTGGGTGGGTAGGAAGTTGAGTAGAAAGAAGCAAGATTGACTTACATGATAAGCAGGGAAAGGAACTGATATTGAGATGAAAGTAAATTTTCAGTATCAGAAGGCAACTAAAATTATTGAGAAAGTGGCTCTAGGTATATTCAGAAGCTCGGAGCAGAGAGTTGGGCTAGAAATTTTGATATCAAAAGATACATGGCTAATATTTAAAAACTATAGGACTGGGGCTGGGAAGGTGGCTCAGTGGTAGAGTGCTTGCCTTGCAAGCATGAGGCCCTGGGGTCATTTCCTCAGCACCAGATAAGCAGAAAAAGCCAGAAGTGGTGCCGTGGCTCAAGTGGTAGAGTGCTAACCTTGAGCTGAAGAGCTGAGGGACAGCACCCAGGCCCAGAGTTCAAGCCCTATGACCAGCAAAAACAAAAATACTTCTTTGTTTAAAATTTGGGGGCTGGGCCGGGCGCTGGTGGCTCACGCCTGTAATCCTAGCTACTCAGGAGGCTGAGATCTGAGGATCGCAGTTCAAAGCCAGCCCAGGCAGGAGAGACCGTGAGACTCCTATCTCCAATAAACCACCAGAAAACCGGAAGTGGCGCTGTAGCTCAAGTGGTAGAGCGCTCGCCTTGAGCTGAAGAGCTGAGGGACAGCGCCCAGGCCCAGAGTTCAAGCCCCACGACCGACAAAAAACAAAACAAAAATTGGGGGGCTGGGAAGGTGGTTCAGTGGTATCAAGTGTTTGCCTGTTATGCATGAGGCCCTTGGTTCAATTCCTCAGCACCACATAAACAGAAAAGCCGGAAATGGCACTGTGGCTCAAGTGGTAGAGCACTAGCCTTGAGCTGAAGAGCTGAAGGACACTGCCCAGGTCCAGAGTTCAAGCCCCACAACCAACAACAAAAAAGACTTTGAGTACAAAAAAGAAAAAATTGCACCTATAAACTCTAATTATTATGTGCAGCAGTGATAAATCTGATCATATTCCATCCTTCCCTTTTAATAAATCTTTAATAAATCTGAAAGATACACCTGATATTCCCTATCTTTCCACAATTTTGGGCATAGATACATTTTGGTCTTACTTGGCTTTCATGTGATTATATCATGTAAATGAATTTTACAATTTTTTTGTGTGCCAGTCCCATGACCTGAACTCAGGGCCTGGGTGCTGTTCCTTAAGCTTCTTTTGCTCAAGGTTAGCACTCTACCTGAGACACTGTGCCACTTCTGCTTTTTCTGAGTAGTTTATTGTAGAGAAGTCTCTCAGACTTTCCTGCCCAGGCTGGCTTCAAACCATGATTCTTAGATCTCAGTCTCCCGAGTAGCTAGAATTACATCACAGCCACCAGCACCGGGGAATTTTACAATTTTTTTGGGGGGGAGGTCGATTGTGGGGCTTGAATTCTGGGCCTGGACACTGTCCTTCAGCTCTTTAGCTCAAGGCTAGTGTTCTAACACTTTAGCCACAGTGCCACTTCAGGTTTTCTGAGTGGTTTATTGAAGATAAGAGTCTCACAGACTTTCCTGCTTGAGCTGGCTTTGAACTGAGATAGTCAGATCTCAGCCTCCTGAGTAGCTAGTATTACAGGCATGAACCACCAGCGCCTGGCTAATTTTACTATTTTTTAAACAGTAAAAGAAGTGTCAACCATGATCATCCAGGAAGACTTTTTCTTTAGTCAATGAAAGGAAGATTTGAAATCCTGACATTCAGAAAGAGCTTTTAAGCAAAATGTTTTTTTGTTTTGTTTTTTTTTGTCGGTCGTGGGGCTTGAACTCTGGACCTGGGCGCTGTCCCTCAGCTCTTCAGCTCAAGGCGAGCGCTCTACCACTTGAGTTACAGTGCCACTTCCGGTTTTTCTGGTCGTTTATTGGAGATAGGAGTCTTACAGTCTCTCTTGCCCGGGCTGGCTTTGAACCGCGATCCTCAGATCTCAGCCTCCTGAGTAGCTAGGATTACAGGCGTGAGCCACCAGTGCCCGGTTTAAGCAAAATGATTTTATGCTGTATTTATTTGAACTATAGTATCTTGCCAAATTCACATTTTTATATACCAAAATATTTATACAAATTTTAATGTTTTGATAAACTTTGATGTCTTTCTCTTGGTAGCTTAATTTTCTTAAATCCTACATTGGATCACTTGAGCTTCTGGGAAGTACTTTGGATTGTTGGAATTACAGACTTCATTCTGAAATTCCTCTTCATGGGCTTAAAATGCCTTATTTTACTGGTGCCTTCCTTCATCATGCCCTTTAAATCAAAGGTGAGAAACTTTTTTTATTGGAATGACATTGGTAAATCATATTAATGTTATTTGTGATTTTTGTAATTTTTCATTTTGCTAAATACCTTAATTTTGATTACCGTCATTAAGCTCAGCAACCACTTGCTATTGGATAAAAACAGAATTCCATTTGCTTTAGAGTAATTGAAAAATCAGTCACCACACCTACTTCTGTTCTCTTTCAGGGCATTATCCATTGATAATTGATGTTATTCAGGACCTTGCTTTTGCTAGGGTGGTACTCTGCCACTTGAGCCACACTTCCAATCCTGTTTTTCCCTAGTTTGTGTGTGTGTGTGTGTATACATGTACATGTACTCAAGTACTAGGGCTTGAACTCAGGACCTGGGCACTGTCCATTAGCTTTTTTGTTCAAGGCTGGTGCTCTACCATTTGAGCCACAGCTCCACTTCAGATTTTTTGGTTGTTAAGCATCTCTTGGATTTGTCTGCCTGGGCTGGCTTTGAGCCACAATCCTTAAACCTCAACCTCCTAAGTAGCTAGGATTACAGATGTGAGCTACTGGAACCTGGCTTTCACTAGTTATTTTCATCATCATCGTCATCATCGTCATCATCATCATCATCATCATCATTATTATATTGCCAGTTCAGGAGCTTTAAGTCAGGACCTGGGCACTGTCCCTTAGCTATTTCTGCTCAAGGCTAGCACTCTGACTCTTGAGTCACTCAAGATCCACTTCTGGCTTTTTTTTTTTGTCCCTCATGGGGCTTGAACTCTGGGCTTGGGTGCTGTCTGTGCGCTCTTCAGCTCAAGGCGAGCACTCTACCACTTGAGCCATAGCACCACTTCCAGTTTTCTAGTGGTTTTATTGGAGATAAGAGTCTCATAGACTGTCCTGCCCGGGCTGGCTTTGAACTATGATCCTCAGATCTCAGCCTTCTGAGTAGCCAGGATTACAGGTGTGAGCCACCAGCATCTGGCTCACTTCTGGCTTTTTGGTTATTAACTGGAGATCAGAATCTCATGGACTTTCCTCTGGTCTGGCTTCAAACCACAATCTTAGGTTTCAGACATGAGCCACCAGCATCCAGCCTCACTTGTTATTTTTTGAGATAAGGTCTTGCTTTCCATCTGGGCATATACCCAGGCTGTCATCCACCTACTTTAGACTTCCACTTGTTACTGGGAATCACAGGCATACACCACAACATCTTACTTCACTGTGGAGAATGGAGTCTGGCACTCTTTTCTGCTCTGGCTGGCCTGAAACTGATTCTCCCAATCTCAAGTCTCCCATAAAACGACAAGTGCAATGCCACCGTGCCCAGCTACATGTTGAGGAGGGGGTCTGCCTGGGCTGTTCTGAACTGAGGACTCCCACTCTCAGCCTCTCACCTAGCTAAGATTACAGACATGAGCTACTGTTGCCCTACTACAAGTGTTAGTTATAATATACATAAAAACCAGGTTGAAATTGTGAGTCACAATCATTATTACAGTAATACATATAATGAATTACTACATGATATATTCATGATGCTCTCCGTACAGTATTATAGTATCTATGCTGTGTATTTAGCTCCATTTGGATTTTTGCTTTGTTTTCCTTCTGTCTTTTTAGGGTTACTGGTATATGCTTTTAGAAGAATTATGTCAGTACTACCGAACTTTTGTTCCCATACCAGTTTGGTTTCGTTATCTTATAAGCTATGGGGAGTTTGGTAATGTAACGAAATGGAGCCTTGGAATATTGCTGGCTTTACTCTACCTCATACTAAAAGTAAGTGACATTATAAGTCTTGGTCATGACATAATGATTCATAAGAGTGACTACTGAGTTTATATACTAAAATTGCCATCCTTAACTAGTCTTAAGTAATGCTGGATTCTTAATAATGGAGAGCTGGGTATGATGGCATGCACCTGTAATCCTGCTAATACTTAGCAGAATGGGGCAAGCCTGTGTTACACAAGAATATCTATCTTTAAATTAAAAAAAAAAACAGGGGGGGGGGGGGCAGGGGAAGGAGAGAGGAAGAAAAAAATGCACTTCCTCTGGATAAGAAAAAAGTAGTTTCCACTCTTTTGCTTATTGTTTTGAGATGAGTTCTTGTTGTACTGCCCAGGCTTCCAGCTGAGATTACAAGCCTTTGCCACTACTCTAAGTTATAGTTCTCAGTTTTTACTGAGGACGGGGGAGTAGACCTCCACACAGCATGGATAGTAAGTGGAATACACCACCAGTCCTCAGCAGTACCATTTGTTATATAATTATGAAAAAAATAACTAGATATTTAATATACTTCCCTCTTGGTTAAGAGTTGGCTCAAATCGATAAAGCAAATAATTAGTTAACTGAACTAGAGATATATTATGAAATGATTAGCTTGAATACACAATGAAGAATAGATTGCATGAGAATTAGAGTAAATGAGAATTTGATGTTAAGATTTCAGGTTTGTGCTGGTACTTGGGCTTCATGAAACAGGCCCTCATGATCTTTTTTTTTTTTTTTTTGGGTCCGGTCATGGGGCCTGAACTCTGGGCCTGGGCACTGTCCCTCAGCTCTTCAGCTCAAGGCTAGCGCTCTACCACTTGAGCCACAGCGCTACTTCCGGCTTTTTTCTTTTTGCTTACGTGGTGCTGAGGAATCGAACCCAGGACCTCAGGCATGCAAGGCAAGTGCTCTACCACTGAGCCACCTTCCCAGCCCGGCCCTCATGATCTTGCTTAGCTTTTTCTGTTCACAGCTGGCACTATACATGAGCTGTACCTCCACTTCTAGGTTTTTGCTAGTTAATTGAAGATAAGTCTCATAGATTTGTCTGCCAGGGCTGACTTCGAACTACAATGTTCATATCTCAGCCTCTTGAATAGCTAGGATTATAAGCCTGAGCCAACAGTGCCTGGTAGAGATTGCAGTTTTGATATTTTTGGTTTAGCACATAGGGCTCTCTGAACTAATTATTTATTTCTTCTTTCAGCTCTTGGACTTTTTTGGACAGTTGAGAACTTTCAGACAGGTTTTACGAATATTTTTTACACGACCAGTAAGTACTTCTTACTAATTAAGGAACAATACCTTTTCCTTTCTTCTTCTTTTTTTTTTTTCCACTTCTGGGGCTTGAACTCTGGGCCTGAGCACTGTCCCTGAGCTTCTTTTGCCCAAGGCTAGCACTCTACCACTTGAGCCACAGCATCACTTCAGGCTTTTTCTGTATATGTGGTACATAGGAATTGAACCCAGGGCTCCATGCATGCTAGGCAAGCACTCTACCATTAAGCCACATCCCCAGCCCTCCTTTCTTCTTTATAACAAAAAATTAAGAGGTTTTTACATGCATAGATTTAAGGATATATTTTTTAGATTTTTCTAGTATGTTAGCATTTGTGGCTTTAGTAATCTAGGAGTTTACTACGGTACCAGTAATCTAGTTTCATACATTATACAACTGCCCACTAATTATTGCAATGCTTATGTATTTGAATGTACCTTTCAAATCCTTTTTCATTTGGCATTTTTAAGTTTATAAATTTTTCTTAAAACATAAACAGAAATCCTGTCTTGAATTTTGTTTTCCTCCCCCCCCCCAAAAAAAATGTATTTGCATTAATGCCAAATGCCAAATTTGGCTTCACTGAAAATGTTCCTGTCTTGAGGAAGGCTTACCACTGAAAATCATGTTGCTTGCAATTTTTTTTTTTTTTTTTTGGTGCCTGTCCTGGGGTTTGAACTCAGAGCCTGGGTGCTTTTATTGCTCAGAGCTAGTGTTCCACGGTTCCATGGCCCCATTTTCCAGCTTTTTTGGTAGTTTAGTGAAGAGTCTCACAGACTCTTCTGCCCAGGTTGGCTTCAAACCGTGATCCTCAGAACTCAGCCTCCTGAGTAGGCTAGGATTACAGGTGTGAGTTGCTGGTGTCCAGCTCCTTGCAATTTTCTTATTGAAGGAAATTTCCTCCTATTCAATTCTGTATGAACAAATAATTTTACAGCATGGAGTTGAGCAATTGAGAGTCCAATGTCAATTATAAACTTAATGTTATCTATCAGTGTTACCAAGTGTAAGAAAGTAACCCCTAAAGAAAACTAATTTACTGTTTGGTAATCTCAAAGATTTGCAGTAGTGTGGTCACAAGATTGAAGGGCTTGCTTTACAGATCTGCAGTCTATTAGGTCCTTAAACAGTTAATCAGTCTAATCCACTAACAAGATTACCAACCGAATAGCATATTATTAAAAGTGATTCCTAGCTATTTGGGAGGTGGAGAGATAGAGATCAAAATGCAAGGCCAGCTAGGCATAAAAGTTCCAGAGAAGGCTGGGAAGGTGGCTCAGTGTTAGAGCGCTTGCCTTGCATACATGAGGCCCTGGGTTCGATTCCCCAGCACCACAAGCAAGAAAGAAAAAAAACCAGAAGTGGCGCTGTGGCTCAAGTGGTAGAGTGCTAGCCTTGAGCTGAAGAGCTGAGGGACAGCGCCCAGGCCCAGAGTTCAGGCCCCACGACCGGACCAAAAAAAAAACAAAACAAAAGTTCCAGAGACTCCAACTCAACTGGATGGGTGGCATGCGCCTGTTATCCCAGCTGTGGAGGGTAGGAAATAATGGCTGGGCACAGTGCTATGTGCTTGTCATCTCCAGCAACACAATGATATGTTAAGAGGAATGCAGGCCACACTAGCTCAAGCATAAAGCAAAGCGATACCTTAAAATAACCAAGGCAAAAAGAGGCTGAAGGCATCGCTGAGATGGTAGAGCCCATTTTGCATATGTGAGGCCCGAATTCAATCTCTAGTATCCCTAAAAAAGGAAAAAAGGATTTTTTACAACGTGATTCAGACTAACTGATGAGGATAATTTTTCTGTGAGATAGATAGCAATATAGAAATATCTTTTGCTACATCTTATGCAGAGTTCTTTCTTTAGAGAACATATAATAAAATTCAAATAGTTTTGTTCAGGTTAATTCAATGATGATTGTATGAGCTCACATCAGCCATTGTTCTGTGATCTGGTAAGATTTGGACTGAAATGCCCTCAAGAAAATGCCCCATGGACTAGATGTATTAGCTCAGTGGTAGAGTGCCTAGCGTGTGAGGCTGAGTTCAATCCATAGTACTGAAGGAAAAAGAAAAAAACAAAAATGCTTTTGCATATCAATGAATGACACTTTGATTTATTAAGTTTCCCTGTCATATCCTCATTACATGTATACTGTTCTTTAAGGAAATGGCAGTCAAACCATCAAAGGAGAATCTCTAAAATGCCAAACAAAATAAAGCTTGTCAACATAAATATCTGCAATGTACTCTGCTAAATGACACTTTACTAAAGGGAAATGGCACCAAGGCCATCTAACAGTTTTAAATTTGTTTCTGAAGTTTTTAATGTTATTCTCAAAGTCTTTTTTTTTTTTTGGTCAGTTGTGGGGCTTGAACTCTGGGCCTGGGTGCTGTCCCTTGGCTCTTCAGCTCAAGACCTAGCGCTCTACCACTTGAGCCACAGCGCCACTTCTGGTTTTCTAGTGGTTTATTGGAGATAAGTCTCAAGAACATTCTAGCCCAGGCTGGCTTTGAACCACTATCCTCAGATCTCAGCCTCCTGAGTAGCTAGGATTACAGGCGTGAGCCACCGGCACCTAGCTTCAAAGTCTTAATTTTCAGTATTTCTTTTAGTTTACCTTCGTTAGCCCTAATTTTTTGTACAAGAACTTTAGATCATAACTTCAGCTATGCTGATACAAGTCCTGCTTTGCCTCTTTCCCATGACTTTACTTGGGTCTTAGCATACCTTTCCTCCATCATTTCTACTCTCATTTGTTATACTTTGTTTGTTCCAATTTTACTTAGGTTTAACTGTCACATCTATTTAATGATATGTCCTCCTGAATTCAGAGAAAAGAAATTGTTTTTAGGACTTGAAAATGTGGCTTAGTGGTAGAGTGCTTGCCAAGCATGCATGAAGCTCTGGGTTCGATTCCTCAGTACCACATAAACAGAAAAGGCTACAAGTGGCACTGTGGCTGAAGCTCAGGGATAGTGCCGAGGTCCTGAGTACAAGTCCCAGGACTGGCCAAAAAATAAAGAACTGCATTACTGTTCAGTTAGTTTGAACAGTGGTCTATCTCCATGACATTTTGCAATTAGTGTTTTCTGACATTTTTTTTGAGTCAGTTTCATTGTGTAACTGGCTAGCCTCAAAGGTGTGAAACACCACCATGTTCAGCTGAGTTCCTTTGTGAAGTTTAGTTTCTTTTGTAGGACTACTCTTCTGTGATTAGTAGTAGTTAAAATTATTTTTGGATTTAGTGACAGGAGTATTCAATAGTCCCCACACTTTCATAATTGAACCTTGGAGACCATTCAAAATCAGGGTCATGCCTGGTGCCAGTGGCTCACACCTGTAATTCTAGCTACTCAGGAGGCTGAGATCTGAGGATCATGGTTCAAAGCCAGCCTGGGCAGGAAAGTCCATGAGACTCCAATAAACCACCAGAAAACCGGAAGTGGTGCTATGGCTCAAATGGCAGAGTACTGGCCTTGAGCTTAAGAGCTCAGGGACAGCACCCAGGCCCAGAGTTCAAGGCCATGACTACCACCACCACCACCACCACCAAAAAAAATAAAAAAAAATCAGGGTCCTATTTCCTATATCTGATAGCTGGAACTACTGATCAATCCAGTTGAAGATATAAACTCCTTTGTATAGGCACACCTGTACAAATGTACTGTAGTGGGGCTTGAATTCAGGGCCTTTAGCTTTTTCTGCTCAAGGCTAGTACACTACCACTTGAGGAATACCTCCACTTCTGGCTTTTTGCTAGTCATTGGAGTCTTTTGGATTTGTCTGCCCAAGCTGGCTTTGATCACAATTCTCAGGCATGAATCCCTGGCACTAGTCTTCCCTTCCCACCCTACCCCCAGACCCTGAGGGAGGCAGGAAGTGCTAGAATAGACCAAGACAGTTGCTAGGCAAGCAGGGTCTTGCTTTTACAACTCTCCCCAGGTTGACCTTAAATTCATGTTCCTCCTAAACGAGGATTATTCTTGTGTGCCACCTTGTCTAGCCAGAAAACTATTTTTAAAGAAAGCTCTCCATCTACTTTAGAAACCACTGCCACAGGCAGGTGAATTTAACTTGAAAATCCTAGATATCATACATGAATTTAAATTCTATTATTTATATTTCTAATTGCTTAGTCCCTTAAGCCAGTTATGTTGAATTTGAAGCTCTGTCACCCTCTGTGAATCCAATGGATTTGTCAATCTTCCATGCTCTTTAACAGTTCTGATATGTTGTTCAGCTGTGCAATGTTTGTAGTCTATGGGAAAGTCTTGAAATGCGTAATTCCAATGAGATCTGACAAGCTCGGCATCAACTACTATTTGAGAAACAAGACAGAATTTTATAGCTGAACAGACTTTGTCTTCATAGAGTTATGGAGTGGCTGCCAGCAAGAGACAGTGTTCAGATGTAGAAGATATTTGTTCAATATGCCAAGCTGAATTTCAGAAGCCAATTCTTCTCATCTGTCAGGTAATGTTTTTAAGCAAAATTAATTCAGCACTTGTGGTTTGTGAAAGTCACATTTACATTTATTGTATGGTAAAGAAATAAAAGAAAAAAAGAAGCCAAACAAAACCCTACAGTATTTACTGGAAGGTAGCATTCCAAGTACAAACCAGTAATGTATTAAAGATAAGAGCCTGCTGGTAAGATTGACTAAGTCACTTTCCCTTAGGTCGTGATGATTTTTTTAAATACAGAGTATTTGGTCAGTCGTGGGGCTTGAACTCTGGGCTTGGGCGCTGTCCCTGTGCTCTTCAGCTCAAGGCGAGCACTCCACCGCTTGAGCCACAGCACCACTTCCAGTTTTTGAGTGGTTTATTGGAAATAAGAGTCTCACAGGGCTGGGAAGGTGGCTCAGTGCTTGCCTCATACGCATGAGGCGCTGGATTCAATTCCTCAGCACCACACAAGCAGAAAAAGCCGGAAGTGGCACTGGGCTCCAGTGGTAGAGTGCTAGCCTTGAGCTGAAGAGCTGAAGGACAGCACCCAGGCCGAGTTCAAGCCCCAGGACAGGAAAAAAAAAAAAAAAAAGAGTCTCACGGACTTTCCTGCCCGGGTTGGCTTTAAACCGGGATCCTCAGACCTCAGACCTCAGCCTCCTGAGTAGCTAGGATTACAGGCATGAGCCACCAGCACCCAGTGAGAAAAATAAAATTTAACTAGCAGACTGGATACCAAAGTGATTGAAAAATAAGACTTTTTATAATTGGGTAACAGTCTTGTAGAACAATAACAATAGTTATTATTGGAATATGTAATATTCTTTTCTATTCTATTCTCTATTCTTTTCGAATTCAGATAATCTCTAAAGATAGCTTATATTTAGTAATGATCAAAAGGATAGAATTTAAGTACTAGTGGCTTTGTTACTAAAATCACTCTTAATTATGCAGTATTTTCTCATTTATAAAATTTGAGGGTAGTGAAAATCCTCACCAACTTCAAGGAATAGAGCTGGGGGTGTGGCTCAAGTGGTACAGCACTAAGAAGAGGCCCTAAGGGTTTCTCTCTTTTTTTTTTTTTTCAAGAATTCTCAGTAATATTCTTATCAAGTACAAAATCTAGCTCCTATTTCCCTTACAGCATATATTCTGTGAAGAATGTATTACCTTATGGTTCAACAGAGAGAAAACATGTCCACTATGCAGAACTGTGATTTCAGATCGAATAAATAAATGGAAAGATGGAGCCACTTCATCTCATCTTCAAATATATTAACTTGTATAAACTATTAAAGGCCACACTACACTGACTATTCATAAAGGCATTTGAGTGTATTTTTCAGGGCTGGAAAAAAATTGCTTCTAAACAGTTTTAGAAAATTGTGTAGTCCAGGGGCTGGGAAGGTGGCTCAGTGGTAGAGTGCTTGCCTTGCATGCATGAGGCCCTGGGTTTGATTCCTCAGCACCACATAAGCAGAAAAAAGCCAGAAGTGGCACTGTGGCTCAAGTGGTAGAGTGCTAGTCTTGAGCTGAAGAGCTGAGGGACAGCGCCCAGGCCCAGAGTTCGAGCTCCACGACTGGCAAAAAAAAAGGAAAAAAGAAAAAAAGATAATTGTGTAGTCCAAGTTCTCATATTTTTGATTAAAGAACTTTTTAAAAAGTATACATTCAATCTAATGAATATGTAATATTCTATCCTATTGACAGTTCTTTGCAGTATTAAACTGTAAATGTCTTTTCTTGGTGTTACCAAACAATAAATGAGTAGCTTTAAAGAAATTCAGGTATTCATTCCTGACATTTTCAGAATATTTTTCCTATTTTAAGATGCTATCTGAACTTTTCTCAAGCATTTTTTGTAAGTCCCAGTCTAAAAATGCTTAAACTTTTTCATAAAATTTGTATTTTTAAAGTTCTTAATTCTCTATTTTACCTGTAACAATCACATGTTTAAGATTTACTGTGGATATATTTTAATATTGTATCATTCCTTATGATTAGTAGAATAAATGATTTAAATTGTTTGTGGACCTTCTACATGCTTCTTGCCATTTCCTTTCATGCTTGAAAAGTTCCTTTTTGTACCATCATAGACCACCTTGAGGGAATCACTAAATTAATATACAGGTCTTATGTATGCTGAGTACTTGCTCAGCATGAAACAGAACCTAGATTCAATCCCTAGCATCACAAAAACAACAAATTTATAAACTGGCTTTCCTGATTTGAATTGTGCAACAAACAAGATCAACCTCCTAAACATCTTAGAAAAAAAAAAAAACTACCATTATAACTAGTCACTTCCAGAAAGAATTCTATGCTTGAGCCAGACGCTGGTGGCTCATGCCTGTAATCCTACTCAAGAGGCTGAGATCTGAGAATCTCAGTTCAAAGCCAGCCCAGGCAGCAAAGTCTGTGAGACTCTTATCACCATTTAATCACCAGAAAACAGGAAATGGCGCCGTGGCTCAAGTGGTAGAGTGCTCGCCCTGAGGTGAAGAGCTCAGGGATAGCACCTAGGCTATCTAGGCCCAGAGTTCAAGCCCCACGACAGACTAAATAAATTCTATGCTTGAATCACCATTAATTGAGCTTTCACTCAATTCCTGGGGGTTATAGCTCAGTTATAGGTGCTTCTTTAACATGCAAGACACCCTTGGTTTGATCCCCAGCAAGGGGGTGGGGTAGCAGGGAGCTTTCATTTAAGAGCAGCCAGAAGCATTGGATAGGGTGGTTTGTTTGCCTTTAGGCAATTTTTGTTGGGTATTAGAAGAGAATGAGGCACTTGCTCATTTCTTTAGATTCCTCTACAGAGGAATGTGAAATCTACAACAGAAGTCTTTAACCTCTGTAGAGCTGCTATTGGTTATATCTGAGTTTATACTATGACTTACCATCCAGCAGTTTTCACAGGGGAGGGGGATTGTAATAACAGATCGTACCACCTTCAAAAGAGGATTATTAACAGTAATGATTAAGCCATGCCTTCTTGAAGTAGGTCATCTCATGGGAACAAGACTGCTCCCCTGTAGTGACCATAGTGATTAACTTCTCTGGAACCCAGGTGAACCACAACCAAGATATAATGGGGTAAACTATTAAAACTGTACATACCTTTGCTCCCTACCTTCACTTCAACACTCATAGCCAGGTGCCAGTAATCCTAGCTACTGAGGAGGCTGAGATCTGAGGATCAGGGTTCAAAGTCAGCCCAGGTAGTTAAGTCCGTGAGATTTGGTGGGGTTTTTTTTGTTTGTTTTTTGGTCAGTCTTGGTGCTTGAACTCTGGGCCTCGGCGCTGTCCCTGAGCTATTTAGCTCAAGTCTAGCGCTCTTCCACTTGAACCACAGCGCTACTTCTGGTTTTCTGGTGGTTAAATGGAGATAAGAGTCTCATGGACTTTACTGCCGAAGCTGGCTTTGAAGCATGATCCTCAGATCTCAGCCACCTGAGTAGCTAGGATTACAGGCGTGAGCCACCAGCACTAAGTCTGTGAGATTCTTATCTCCAATTAACCACCAGAAAATCAGAAGTGGTGCTGTGGCTCAAGTGGTAGAGTGCTAGCCCTTGAGCTAAAGAGCTCAGGAACAGGGCCCGGGCCCAGAGTTCAAGCCCCATGACCAACAAAAAAGATGAAAACAAAAAAGGAAGAAAATTTAATGCTCATGTCAATATCCTACAGCTGGCTGAAGATGATGTAAAGTAGTCTTCTGATGACATCATGCCATGTAAAAATCTTTCTCTGCTGAATTTCTAATAAACTTTCCTGGTTAAAGCACTTTCATAGTTTGCCCATTTCTTCTTTTGCCAGACATAAGAACTGAGGTTGATTATCTCTGCTGACTTTCTGGTAACAGTAGAAAGATGTTGGAAGAAGCAGAAAACAAATTTGCTATATTAATTAAAGAAACTAAACCAACATATGGATTAAAGATAGTGACAAACTAACTACAGGTGAAATCATTTTCATGCCTGACAAAAGTGACAAAAAAGAACATTGAGAAACCTGTAATTTTTTTTTCTTCTGCCATGTAAACACTGCTGGCTTATAAATACAACTATTTCTGTTTACTCAGTCACAATATATTAAACTCTCTTTGAGATCCCTGCAAAGATTTAAACAAGTTTACTTGGCTTAAAATCCTCTTCTGCATGGCTTTGTGGTGAAGCTTAGTTGTGTTATTTAGGTATATAGCAAGGAATGTGTGATTGGAATTAAAATCTGGCTGTAAAAATCAACTAAAATGACTTCCTATTCAGAACACAAGACTAGCATTCAGTCCTATCACAATATCTATCTACCAAACCTACTTACTCACTTAATACCTATTCAGACAGCTTTGTTTCTTAATAGAATTAAGTTAAGCAATAGAAGAGGTCCCAGGTGAACAATGGTGGTGTTTGGGGGGAAAAGGCAGTGAATTGAAAACTGGGCAAATTTAATAAGAGGGCCATGTTACCCATTATTGATAATGAATTCAAAGCATTTCTCTACACATCTACCTTCTACCCTTTAATTTCAAAGAAAGGAACATAGTTATAAAACTCCAATTATTCTGTTAATTCAGATAAAAGATTATAGGACCAGCACTAAGAGATGCTACCAGGGACCAGGAATACAGCTCAGTGCTAGAGCTCTTGCCTACCATGCTTAAGATCTAAGTTCAATCCTCAGTGCTTCCCTAAAAAGAAAAATATTACCATATTTTACACTTGGAGAATGTCTGTATACCTTGGCTGCTATAATATAAATGCCTCCCAGATAAGTGTTTTATACAAAATGCCCATCTTACTCTAAGATAATGACCCTTCAAATGTGCACATATATCGTGCATATACACCAAACTATCAAAGGTAAGTATAGCTGAATAGATTGTTGATTATTAGCACAAGCAACTAGTCCTAATGTTTATCTGAAGCTAGCAAGCCTCCAGAAAATTTACTGCATGAGCCTTTTGAAAAAGCTCAAAGATGTAAAATCAATACTAAAACATTACATATTTTAATCGCTTTAGTTTCTCAGCAGGAAGTTTTACACCTGCCATTCTTCACATATATAAAGGATTTACTAAATATGAAAACTGGAACATATCTGACATGCTAATAAAAAACTGTATATTGGATATATACACTAACTGATTTCTTCCTGTCTTTAGGAAGCAAAAAAAATCACTTCCATGTTATGTTCATTCAGATTTGCATTTAATGTCTATTTACATTCATTCAACCAGAATCAAAAATCTTAATACAGTAAACTAAATACAAGATGAAAAGCAGAAAAAGTGTTACCCTCATAGCACTCCTAATAAGGCAGCTGAAGAGTTTATTTATTTTAATAGATGCAAAGCCAACTGGGGACAGAGGAAATATAATAGTTTAAAAGCAAACACAAACAGTGATGAACCCATCTTTTGGATGTTATTTCAGAGAATCCACTGAGATACTTGTAGTGTTAAGAATCATACAAGAGGAAGTACTATAATATAACCAGACAGACCATAGACGGTGTGACAAATTCTATTATAATTTTCTCCAGCTTGCTAGTGTCTAACCACTATAAAAATAGGTGGATGTTTTGAGAGATTAACTATTTTCAAAAACTCAAAATCTATTCTTCATAAATTCAACATTTCTTGTGGGAAAAATTTGAGATCTTAGATCTAGCTCTGGGAGCTAGGAACCAAAAGAGTAATTGAATATTCAAAAAAACAGGTTCTTTGCTATATATGACATTCAAAGCTCAAGATACTAATACTATATAAGATGCATCTTGCTTATGATAATTTATTACCTACAGTATAGAATGTTGAATTTATGGAGTCTCATACATGCATCCTCCCTCTCCATCTTAAATAATCTTCCATTTCAAAAAACAGAATGAAAAAATCCTTCTTGAAGGATTCAAATTAGTCAAGATCATAAAGGTGAAAAAATAACATAATTTTCCTAAAAATCTGGTTTATATTCAATACTTTTACACTGTTAATCACAGCTGGTTTATAAATCCAGTGATTCTATAATGCTACAAACCTTATAAAAACAAATTATTTCAGTGATTACATCTTAATTAAAAAACAGCATGTATAAAATAAAATATCCTGTTGATTTTAATGAAAGTAATCAAGTATTGAAAGAAAAGCACTTAATTTTTTTATATACTTACCTGGTATAAATCATAAAGAACCCACTTAGAAATTCAAGACTAGTAATATTGACACCATATATTTTAAACTATGCTTGGATTTTTACAAATAAATATAGGGTAAGCCATATTGCATAGGTGTGTGCTTTCTGTCTGTGACACTAGTGTGACACATGACATGTTTTCACAGTCTCAGCAGGGATATTCACTTATGAAACAATTTTTCAATAAACTCTCCAAAACACGGAAATTAATTTCACTTAATAAATGTTAAGATAGAAAAGGTATGTATTTGTGTGGTTGGTAGGTATGCAATTAATGCTTCCTATGCAAAAAACTTGCAGTGTTTGCCACTATCGCCAGCGGTACTCAAATTATGAAAACTATAGGACAGTTATAGCCAGCCAATGACAGTACACATATTACTAGCAAACAGGACTGAGGAAGAATATTTTGGTGTAAAAGTTTTACTGGAATTTGGTCAGGCAGTCAATGCTGCAGTTAGTAAACACTTGGAAACAAGTACTGCAAACCATTTACAGTCTGAAATAATGCCTATACAAATTACCATAGCTTTTTGGGTACTGTTTTTGTTTTTTTGTTTTTCAGAAATTATAAATTGTCAGAGAACAATGATCTGGACTTTAAATTTTCTGCCTTTAATCAATATAGTAGCTTCTAACTTATCAGCCACAATTACCTAAGTTCTCGGTAGGCTGATGCAATAAAAGGGGATCTAGAGGGAGTGGTTAAAATAAGTAAAAAGGTGTTCTGTTCAAAGATAAACTTTTATCAATTCTTTCATTTATTGCCACAATTGAAAAAGTTCATTTCCAGTAATTTCCCATGGTTCTGGTTATGCTTACTATCATATGGTTTTATCATATCTCTAAATAAGCAAAATCTTGCTCTTTTCTGGCTGAATTCAACATGCATAAAGAATTTTATGGCTTGGATCCTATGGCTCAAAAAGGTTTGGAGAACATAGCAAGCAGCATTTATTTAAAAAAATTCTAGGGTTGCAAACTATTATAAATTAACTTTGTACAGAATGAAAACATTAAAAAGACCAACAAAAGACAAGTGATAAGACTCAACTGTAACTGCATCATCATCTACTCATACCAGTATGCAATGAAATATATTTTTATAAAGCTCTGCAGATATTAAACCCTTTCACCAGCTAATGTCATGGAAATGCTCTCTTTAAGGCAGGAAGTATTTAAGAAAGGTAAAGTTACCTTTATTTTTATTCTTTGTACCTGTAAATCACTTCTGTAGATTTTGTTACAATTTCAGAAACACTGTCTTGTTAACATATATCCTAAATTAAGCTACTAAGTTTTCTTGGTTCACTATGGAAGACATTCATCAAAAGGCCATCAAGCATTTTCACAATAAAAAATAGCCCCAGTAAAGGGGGGGAGGGGGAAATAAGACCTTGTTTTCCTTTTTAAAATGATTGAAGAAAAAAAAAAAAAAAGGAAGGTAGACAGCAAAAATGGTTTAAAAAAAAAGTACAACTTAAAAACCTTACCCATTTGCTGTAAAGAGACGAGACAGTTGTGGATATGGCAACGCCCTCTTCCCCTGGATATCCCTATCTTCCCCACTTTGCTGCCCCCAGTATGCATTTTATCCTGACTCTCTTCTGTCCTTCCTCAGCCATGGGCTGAACACATTTGGCGTCTTGAACCAAATACTGGTATAAGAACAGGTGGCAATTTTTTTCCAGTACAATGCAGGACAAGGATGAAAATGTAGGACATATAATAAATGCCCATTCCAAGGCTTCCAGTTACACTTGGCAGACAGCAGTACTGCAAGTAGAAATAATTAGATTCTTTTTTTCCCCTAGTACTACAGGTATTGCAGCAGGGTTACTAAAGATAAACCCGAGGTCCACCCCAAGCCCTCAAAGGAGCCACAGCTGTGGTTAACAATGATTAATTTGCATTTTATTTCATCAAGAGAGAAGAAACAGAAGCTGTCTGATCTTCTTAACACCAACCAATTTCTCATTTTAAAGTTTTGGGATGTTTTCCATAATGAGCTGAATCAAAAATCTATTTGAAAAATATATATTTATATAAAAAAAAGATTCAGGTTGTTTGCACATAAAACATCAATTGGTAAGTTTCTTTTGTCTTTGATTCCATGTTTCTGGAAAAAGTTTGACCAAGCTTGCATGCTAATTTGTCTTTAGTTGCAAGTATTATAGGCAATTTCATACTTTGCCTAATGAGAGGATAACTCTTCTTCAATACAATCAGAACTCTCAATGATTCAGAAGCAACATGTTATCCTTAATACTGTCAGTTTGGAGCCATCAACATGAAAATTCTTGATAAGGTTGAAAGATGTCACTAGGAATCAGTTAACTGATGTGCCTAAGAGTTCCACAATACTATTTTGCTTGCCTGTTTTTTGTTTTTTTGATTTTTGCACCATTGATTGATTTTTTTAATCCATGTTTATTTTTACTCCATCCAAAGTGTTCTAGGTAAAGACACTGACTCTGAGACTTATTATTTTGTTTCTTCTGGTTTTATCTTGCCAGATATCATCACTTCCTCTACTTTTGCTCTTTCTTCCTTTTTCTTTCTTTTTTTTTTTTTTTTGCTTCAAGTTCATTAAAAGCATTACTTTGTCATAGATTCATTCGCAGGTGCTCTGGCCGTTTGGAGATCATGGGGAAAGCTTGCTTTTTGTATGGTCCGGAGTTGGGCTGTCGTATTGGCAGAGGAGCTGATGCTTCCCCACTCATTGTCACATCCATCTGCTCTATTCCGCTTGTTTCCATTGGGTATTCCGCAGGTGTCTGAGGAGTTGCCGTGCTGGCTGAAGCACCTCTTCCCCAAAAATCCCCAGGAGAAAATTTGACTGGGCTTTAAGACAAGGAAGAACTATCATTTATTAGTCTCAAGGTTCAACTCAACAAGAAATATTTCCACTACATTTAAAAGGAGAGAGTAATATGACACCTTTTTCATTTAAGTTTATTGTCTTGTGGATTGGCACAAAGGCAATGGTTGAGCCATCTCTTCCATAGATGAGTTAATTGCTGGAATCTATAAACTACCTTTACACTTGACCCCTAAAGACCTAAACGATAGTCCTTTTTTTTTTTTTTTTTTGCCAGTTGTGGGGCCTGAACTCTGGGCCTGGGCACTGTCCCTCAGCTCTTCAGCTCAAGGTTAGTGCTCTACCACTTGAGCCACAACGCCACTTCCAGCTTTTTCTGCTTATGTGGTGCTGAGGAATCGAACCCAGGGCCTCATGCATACAAGGCAAGCGCTCTACCACTGAGCCACCTTCCCAGCCCCACGATAGTCCTTTTAAAATCATTTCATTTCCCCACTTAAAACAACCTCCCATTGTAATTATAATGTTCTAAACCTTTGCCATTTTCCACTTCACTTTCCACACCTAAGAACAGTGGCCCTCCCATTCAAGAAAACAACATCCTATTTTCCTTCCTGAAGGCTTCCACACTTGCTATTCCGTTTACAGTATTTTTTCATATCCTATTTTTGCTTAGCTAACAAATATCTTTATTCCTTGATGTTACTTTACCAGGGAGGCCATTATTGGTCACTGTGAGTAGAAATTCATTTGTTTTTTCTGCTCTCTACTGCTGTACTTTATTTTTATTTATACACAATTTTTTAAACTTTTCTTTTTTATTTTGTGCTGGTAATGGGGCTTGAATTCAGGGTTAGGGCACTGTCCTTTAGCTTTTTCACTCAAATCTGGCCCTCTAGTACCTGAACCACACCTCTACTTCTGGCTTTTTTGTTGGAGGAAAGAGTCTCATGGACTTTTCTGCACAGGCTGGCTTTGAATCAAATACTCAGATCTCAGCTTCCTAAATAACTAGGGTTACAGGCATGAACTACTGGTGCCTGGCACACTTTTGTTTTAAATACAGCACAACTTGTAGTTACTTTTTTTCTGTGCATATTCCCATTTTTGTTTATTGTGACTATCTCCCACTTAGTGTGTAAACTTCACCAGATCAAGAGTAATTTCTATGTTATATACACTATACGCACATGCATACAACATGTAATGCAGCTACGGGTGCACAATAAATCTTGACTAAGTGCACAAAAAGGGCATTCATCAGTATACCAGGAGAAAAGGCAAACTATATAACCTGTAAGAGATGAGACACAGACTAGTTCTTTACAATTTTTTTTTTTTTTTTTGCCAGTCGTGGGGCCTGAACTCTGGGCCTGGGTGCTGTCCCTCAGCTCTTCAGCTCAAGGCTAGCGCTCTACCGCTTGAGCCACAGCGCCACTTCTGGCTTTTTCTGTTTATGTGGTGCTGAGGAATCGAATCCAGGGCCTCATGCATGCAAGGCAAGCACTCTACCACTGATATTGATGCCATGTTTGTGTTAACCAAAAAGAATGACAGCTCTTTCAATTACATAACTTGGCATTAATTCCTATGCTCTTTCTAGGTTTAAACAAAAAAAGATGGAAAATAACATTGTCTGAAATACCTGACAGGTGTTCGTGGACTACCAATAAATCTTCGAGGGGATCGAATTTTTGGTTCAAAGGAAAACTTTTCTTTCACACTTTCAAGTACAGATGGAGCCACATATGTAAAACCCTGAAAGACAGTAACAATGGACTACAGAATGGCAGATTATCATACACATCAAAACAACAACAAATTTTTGTTCTGTTTTTTTGATAGAGTCTATGTAGCCCAGCCTGGCCTTGAACTTCCAGTTCTCCTGCCTGAACCTCTTGAATACTGGGATCATAGGCATCTATCATAAAACCTTTTTGTTTATATTCTTTGGTAAAATGAGTTGTCTGGTGTCTGAATACCAACATAATGATGTATACTTAAAATCACTAATGCATATATTCTCCCATTTCCTTGAGCTCATACCTGTTAACTTCTTTCCAGCCATTTTTTAAGGCATAGACCTCAGGAAAGCAGAATTCTATTCAGCCCCATATGCCAACACACAAAATTCTCCACTATTATTAGGAGAAAAAAAAACAGGAAGAATGTAGGCTTCACATTATGGTTTTAAGTAACACAGAAATATAAGCAACAAGAGTAGTATAAGCAAGTAAGATAACCACTTTCAAAACAGCTTCTTGCAGGGTGCTGGTGGTTCACAAACATAATTCCAGGAGGCTGAGATCTTGAGGTTCCAAGCCAGCCCAGGCAGCAAAGTTTGTGAGACTTTATCTCCAATTAACCACCAAAAAGCCAGAAGTAGAGCTGTGCTCAAGTGGTAAAGTACTAGCCTTGAGCAAAAAATTAAGGGACAGTACCCAGCTCCAGAGTTCAAGCCCCAGAACCAGCACGAAAAGCAAAACAATAAAAACAAGTTTCTTATAATGAGGTCAAAGCAAAACCAGACAATTCTCTGATATAACATGGGTGATCTTTCTGTTTTTGCACCAATGATTGTACAAGATGAGGCATTTGGTGGCTAAATGGTAGAGTGCCTGCTTAGCAAATGTGAGGCCAAGGGTTCAAACCCCAGTACTGTCCCCCACCAAAAAAAAAAAGAAAAAGAAAAAAAAAGAAATTGATGTTTTACTGATGAATAGGTATCAACATTATGCAAACCTCCACTGCAATAGACAGCAGTACAGTTCTATTAGCTTTAGCTCTTTCTTGGACTTTGCTCTTACGCTACCACTGTCATTTCCTTTGTTGTCCATGTTTGTTTTAAAACTCCTATGCCTACTGTCTCTTCTATTTACTATTACCTATATGTGAACATGATGGTTCTGCGTGAAATCTAAAAGAATAAAGTATAATATATGCTATATAATTTCAGACAATGTTGGGCATATTCAGGGCAGGAGGACCATAGATGCTTTGTGACTTCAGAAGCTATTTATCCATATGGTCTAGTGCACTAAAGCTGTATTTACGAAGACCAGGCTTAGAACCAAAATATCTAAGTAGGTAGGGATTTTAAGGATTCCTTTATTTGTTGTTGATCATGGGGCTTGAACTCAGGTCCTGGGCACTGTCCCTGAGCTCTTTACTCTGAGCCAGAGCTCCACTTCCATGTTTTGTGGTGGAGATTAGAGTCTCACTGGGACATTTCTGCCCAAGCTGGCTTTAAACTGTGATCCTCCAATCTCAGCCTCCTGAGTAGCTAGGATTACAGGCCTGAGCCACTAATGCCCAGCTTTAAGGATTCTTATTGCTGTTGTTTTCGTGTAGTGCTGGGGATTTATCTAGGGCCTTATACATGATAGGCAAGTACTCTACTACTGAGCTCTATTCCTGGCTCCTATTTAAAAGGTCTTAAAGATAGGAGTGTATGCTAAAATGAAAAATAATGTATCAGTATATTTTTCAATCAAATATTCACAAGTAACATTATGTATTTCCACAGATTTAGATTAGAATGCTAATTGGTTTACAATCCTGATTGCTATTTCTCTTTTGATAATAAAAGTGAGTTTTCCTGGGACAGGGAATGTGGCTTAGTGGTAGAGTGCTTGCCTACACGCACAAAGCCCTGCATTAAGTTCCTCAATAACAATTAAACAAAAAGCCAGAAGTAGCGCTGTGGCTCAAGTGGTGGAGTGCTAGCTTTGAGCAAGAGAAGCTCTGGGACAGTGTCTAGGCCCTAAGTTCAAGTCCAGGACTGGCAAAAAAAAAAGTTTGGGATGCAAACCCAAACATTCCAGGTCAGTTGCTCTATTACAAAAATGGATCATAGCCGGGCGCTGGTGGCTCACGCCTGTAATCCTAGCTACTCAGGAGGCTGAGATCTGAGGATCGCGGTTCAAAGCCAGCCCAGGCAGGAGAGACCGTGAGACTCCTATCTCCAATAAACCACCAGAAAACCGGAAGTGGTGCTGTAGCTCAAGTGGTAGAGCGCTCGCCTTGAGCTGAAGAGCTGAGGGACAGCGCCCAGGCCCAGAGTTCAAGCCCCACGACCGACAAAAAAAAAAAAAAGAAACAGAAAAAAAAAAAAAAAGGATCATAAACTCCAAAGATCATACTTTCCCATTTTAATTACTAACATGCTATGTCAAATTATGAGAATAATTTGGAGCATAATACTGGAGGTTACAGTAGGTTTAATAGAATGGCTTTAAAAAGAAGTTAATCAGGTTACCTTATATGAACCTTAAAACAAGCAAACTGATTTCTTTTTTTAAATTATTGCAGGTAACAACCTCATACTTAAAATTTCCCATGTATACATGAAAATGCTTCCACTTACCAGAAAGACCTGGTTGGCACTTTCACTAAGAGTTGAGTCATCTGGGCTGTCAACAGGTGTCTGACGTGTAAACTTTGAATCAAATTGACTCACATCCTCTTCAGATTGCTTTATAAAAACAAAATGGTTAGAAAATGGTTAATAGTGTATACTTACATCAAACAAATATGTTGCAAGCTCTAAGTAGAGCTTTTGCAAAAGTTCACTGTAATAAAATCTTAAGTCTAGTTGGGTGTTGTTGGCTCACACCTATAATCCTAGCTACTCAAGAGGCTGAGATCTGAGGATCCAGACTCAAAGCTAGTGAGACACTTATCTCCAATTAACCAGCAGAAAACCAGAAGTAGAGCTGTGGCTCAAGTGGCTGAGCTCTCACCTTGACCTGAAGAACTCAGAAACAGTACCCAGGCCCAGAGTTCAAGCCCCACAACTGACCCCCCCCCCCCAAAAAAAAAAAATCGTAGAAAAACCAGAAGTCTTTTTTTAAAAAGCAGGTGGAAAATATCAATAATCTATGTATCTATCTGTATTTATACATTCTCTGCTTACGGAAGAATTTCAGCTAATAGAGAAAAAAAATAAGTAACAGAATAAGACCATTTTACAAATCCTTAATGAAATCATAGAACTAGATTAGTCTCATTACTACTGGTATTTTGGGTCTGGTAACTGTTACAGAAAATTGTCCTGTGCTGGTCCCTTATGCCCCAGATACTAAGTAGCTACCCCTCCTATAATTCTTTTTTTTTTTGTTGGTCATAGGGGTTGAACTCAGGGTCTGGGCACTGTTCCTGAGCTCTTTTGCTCAAGGCTAGAACTCTCCGACTTTGCACCATAGTGCCACTTTTGGTTTTCTTCACTTTGCTGCTCAAGCTGGCTTTGAACGGTGATCCTCAGATCTCAGCCTCCTGAGTAGCTAGGATTACAGGCATGAGCCACTAGTGCCTGGAATGTAATTCTTGACATCCAAAATGTCTGCAAACAATGTCACTGGTGGATCACACCTATAACCCTAGCTACTCAGGAGGCTGAGATCTGAGGATCACAGTTCAAAGCTAACCCTGAGCAGGAAAGCCCATGAGACTCTTATCTCCAATTAACCACCAGAAAACCAGAAGTAGTACTGTGGCTCAAGTAATAGAGCGCTAGAAAACCAGTAGCACTATGGCTCAAAGTGGTAGAGCGCTCACCTTGAGCTGAAGAGCTGAGGGACAGCACCCAAGCCCAGAGTTCAAGTCCCATGACCGACAAAAAAAAAAAAAAATATGCCAGGCACCGGTGGCTCATGCCTGTAATCCTAGCTAGTCAGGAAGAAGAGATCTGAGGATCACAGTTCAAAGCCAGCCTGGGCAGGAAAGTCTGTGAGACTCTTTCTCCAATTAACCACCAGAAAACCAAAAGTGATACTGTGGCTCAAATGGTAGGACACTCGCCTTGAGCTGAAGAGCTGAGGGACAGTGCCCAGGCCTAGAGTTCAAGCACCACCACCGACCAAAAAAAAAAAAAAATACTATGGATTTTGACCAATGTCTTGCCACCATCACTAGCTGATCACTGACTACCAACTAGTTGTATTTCTCATCAGAGAAATAAATTTCAAAAATATTTCTCTAGTGAGAAATACAACTACACATTAGGCCTCTTTATCAAAATATCCAAAAGCAATATTTTAGCAGAATACTAGTGGCTCCTGTCTGTAATTCTACCTATTCAGATCTGAGGAAGCCAGTTTAAAGCCAGTCTGGACAGAAAAGTCCATGAGACTCTTATCTCCAATTAACCAGCAAAAAAAATAGAAGTAGATGTGAGGCTCAAATGGTAAAGAGTGACAGCCTTGAATAAAGCAAGTGAGAGCTCAAGGTCCTGACTTCAAGCATTGATTCTGACACCAAAAAATAAAACCAAATAAACAAAAACCACACACACACACACACACACACACACACACACACACACACACACACACACACACACACACACACACACACACACACACACACACACACACACACACACACACACACACACACACACACACACACTAAAATAGTTTAATTAGAACCAAATCTACCTACCAGGTTTATTGCTTGTTTTTGGCCTGGGTATTGTCCCTGATCTTTTTTGCTCAAGACCAGCACTATACCACATGAGCCACAGCTCCACTTTCAGCTTTCTTGGTGGCTAAGTGGAAATAAGAATCTCATAAGTTTTCCTGTCTAGGCTGTCTTAGAACCATGGTCCTCAGATCTCAGCCTCCTGAGTAGCTAAAATTACAGGCATGAGCCACCAGCCCTAGCTCTACCTACCAGTTTTTGAAAATAAAAGTAACTGATGAACATGGTCAATGACAGATGGAAATAAGATTAGCAAAGCCAAACTGTGAGACATTCTTTTTTTTTGGGGGGGGGGGGGGGGGGGTCTGGTCATGGGGCCTGAACTCTGGGCCTGGGCGCTGTCCCTCAGCTCTTCAGCTCAAGGCTAGCGCTCTACCACTTGAGCCACAGCGCCACTTCCGGCTTTTTTCTGTTTGCTTATGTGGTGCTGAGGAATCGAACCCAGGGCCTCATGCATGCAAGGCAAGCACTCTACCACTGAGCCACCTTTCAAGCCCCTGTGAGACATTCTTAAGGACAGAAGATTTGAGGGTAAGAAACAATTGGAGAACTGGTCAACCTTTTAGCTATGACAATAGCCATAGTGGTTATGATGGTTCAGACAGATGACCTGGCTACTTTTTTTTTTTTTTTTGCCAGTCCTGGGGCTTGAACTCAGGGTCTGAGCACTGTCCTTGAGCTTCTTTTGCTCAAGGCTAGCACTCTTAACACCTGAGCCACAGTGCTACTTCTGGCTTTTTCTGTTTATGTGGTACTGAGGAATCAAACCTAGGGCTTCATGCATACTAGGCAAGCACTCTACCCCTGAGCCACCTTCCCAGCCCCGAGAATGTGTCTTTATTTGGAAAGGATGACTGCAGATGAAATTACTAAACATGAAGTCATAGAATCCATCAAATCTGGTTTTTCTGAGACTCTCTTGTTTACTTTTGTGATACGGGGGACAAAGGTATTGACCTCAGAGCACGTACTTGCTAAGCCGGAACTCTACCCTGGAGTAACATCTCTTCAGTCCTATTTTACATTAGTCTCACTTTTGCTAGGCTTTTTTTTTTTAATTTTATTTTTTTTGTTTTTGTTTTTGGGTCCGGTCGTGGGGCTTGAACTCTGGGTCTGGGCGCTGTCCCTCAGCTCTTCAGCTCAAGGCTAGCGCTCTACCACTTGAGCCACAGCGCCACTTCTGGCTTTTTTCTTTTTGCTTATGTGGTGCTGGGGAATTGAACCCAGGGCCTCATGCATGCAAGGCAAGCACTCTACCACTGAGCCACCTTCCCAGCCCACTTTTGCCAGGCTTATGCCTGGATAGCAATCCTCCTGTTTTATGCTTCCCACTGTAGCTGAAATGGTAAGTTTATGACTCTATATACAGCTTCTTTCTTTGAGATGAAGTCTCATGAACGTTTGTTTTTTTTTTGGTCGGTTGTGAGGCTTGAACTCTGGGCCTGGATGTTGTTGTTCCTGAGCTCTTCAGCTCAAGGCTCACACTCTACCACTTGAGCCACAACGTCACTTCTGGTTCTCCGGTGGTTAATTGGAAATAAGAGTCTCACTGACTTTCCTTGCTTGGGCTGGCTTTCAACCACAATGCTCAGCCTCCTGAGTAGCTAGGATTATAGGTGTGAGCCACCAGCGCCCAGCTTCACAAACTTTTAATTTTTGCCCAGGATGACCTGAACTATGAGCCTCACTCCAACTCCATCTCTGCCTCCCACACAGCTAGGGTTAACAGGTATGCACCACTACTCCCAGATATTAGTAGAAAGGAGGTCTTGCAAACTTTTTCTGGTTTGGCTTCAAATCATGATCTTCTTAGCCAGGCACCAGTGGAGTTCATGCCTGTAATCCTATCTACTCAGGAGGCTGAGATCTGAAGATGGTGACTCAAACCCAGTTGGGGCAGGGAAGTACAGGAGACTCTTTATTTCCAATTAGCCACCAAAAAGTGGAGGTAGTACTCAAGCAGTAGAGCACTTACCTGAGCAAAAAAGAAGCTCAAGAATAGTGCCCAGACCCTGAGTTCAAGCTCCAGGACTGGCAAACAACAACAACAAAACATAATCTTGACATCAACTTCCTGAGTAGCTAGGATTATAGATGTGACCACTGTGCTGGGCTTCTGAGACTTCTTACCCTAAAAAACGTTACCAGGGCCAGCCACTGGCGGCTCGTGCCCATAATCCTAGCTATTCAGAAGGTTGAGATGTGAGGATTGTGCTTGGACCCAGCCTAGTCAGGAAAGTCACTGAGAATCCTTATCTCCAATTAACTACCAAAAAAGCCAGAAGTGAAACTGTGGCTCAAGTGACAGGGTGCTAGCCTTGAGCACAAAACTCAAAGACAGGGCCAGGATCAGTACAAAAAAAAATTACTAGGTCACTAAAATTATGTTTTCACATACACATACCAACAGAGGCTTAAAAGGGGGCTCCACCTTCCGAGCTAGAAGTTCTTCCCAGTTAATGTGTCTGAAAAATGGGTGAGCCTAGGAAAAAAGGATGGAAGAAAAATTACAAGGAATAGACTGCTGAAATGACAACCATACTTTTGAAGGTGTAAATCACAAAATAAGACAAACTTATAAGCAATTACATATAATCTTCATAAGCAAATAAAATTAGTAATATCTTTTCCCAAAACGCCAAATGTGCCAATCCCTACTTGAACTTCTCCAGCATCCCCAGGACCAGCTCCAAGACGAGAAGCAGCATTCCTTTTCAGCAGCTTTAGGGAGGAAAAAAAGCACTGATAAAGACCTTTAGACAAGCTGGGCACTGGTGGCTTATGCCCGTAATCCTAGCTACTCAGGAGGCTGAGATCTGAGGATTGCAGTTCAAAGCCAGCCTGGGTAGGAAAGTCCATTACTTTTATCTCTAATTAACCACCAGAAAGCATGCATGAAGCCCTGGGTTTTATTCCTCAGCACATAAACAGAAAAAGCCAAAAGTGAAGCTGTGGCTCAAATGGTAGAGCACTAGCCTTGAGCGGAAAAGCTCAGAGACAGTACCCAGGCCCTGAGTTCAAGCCCTATGACTAACCAAAAAAAAAAAAAATAACTTTAATGAAGCTGTTTTTTTTTTCTACATATACTTTGTTCATCTATTCTGCCTTTAAAAATGCAATGAACTCTTACAAAATGTTTCAGAACAAAAACAATACCTTTAAATTTTTAAATTTTTATTAAGTAGTTGTACAAAGAGGTTACAATTCCCTAAGTAAGGTTATAAGTATAATGCATCTTGATCAATGTCACCGCTTTCTTTGTTCTACACCACTATCCCCCTCTTACCCAATCTTTAAATTTTTACTTTGTGTTTAAAACTGCAGGTTCAATTGGATGCTGGTGGCTCCTAACTGTAATCCAAGCTACTCAGGAGGTAGAGATTGGGATGAATGAGGTTCCTGGTCACCTTGGTCAAAAAGTTAGTCAGATTCCCATCTCAACCAAAAATATGTTCCTGTCACTTCATCTACGTGAAAAGCTTAATAAGAAGGATGGCAGGCAAGGTTAGCTGGGTAGAAATTCAAGCAATTTTATTTAAAAAACTAATAATAACTAAAGAATAAAGTACTAGGTATATAGATCAAGTGGCAGAGCAACTGTCTAACAAGGCCCTGAGAGTTCAACCCCCAAGTACTGCCACAAATAAATAAATAAATAAATTGCAAACTGGACACTGGTAGTTCATACCTTGCAATCCTAGCTACTCAGGAGGCTCAGATCTGAGGATTACAGTTCAAAGCCAGCCCCAGAAGGAAAAGTCCATGATACTCTTATCTTCAATTAATCACTAAATACTAGAAGTGGAGCTGTGGTTCAAGTGTTAGAATGCTAGCCTTGAGCAAAAAATTTCAGAGACAGAACTCAGGCCCTGAATTCAAGTCCCAGTGCTGGCAAGCACACACACCAATTTACATATTTTGTGTATTTCGGTCCTGGGGCTTGAACTGAGCACTGTGGATGAGGTTTTGTGCTCAAGACTAGGGCTCTACAACTTGAGCCACAGCTCTACTTCTAGCTTTTTTGATGGTTAATTGGAGATAAGAGTCTCAACTATCTTGACCAGGGGGGCTTTGAACCATGATCTCAGATCTCAGCTTCTCAAGTAGCTAGAATTATAGGCTATAGGTGTGAGCCACCAGCACTCAGGTGCAGGTTTTTGTTGTTGTTGTTTGTTCAATATATAGCTACGAGATTCTCTATTCAAAATATATTTTTTAAAAATATATTTTATATTTATATATAAAATATTTTATATATATTTATTTATATTACAGTTTATATACTGGGTGCTCATTTAAAGAACCTACCTTTTTGAGGAGATCTCTAGCTTCTTGAGTGAGGTAGGGAGGCAAATTAAGTTTACATTTGAGGATTTTGTCAATTGTTTTCTTTCTATTCTCCCCCGTGAAAGGAGGCTAAAGGTAGAAAAGAATGAGGACAATTAGGATCTAAAACATAAATTTAATAGCGTTATCTATTTCAATGTATTCAGATCAGACATGCATGCTGTGAATTGAGCTAATTAACAAAGAACTGTAGCTGGGTGCTGGTGGCTCACGCCTATAATCCTAACTACTCAGGAGGCTGAGATCTGAGGATCGAGGTTCAAAGCCCCAGGACCGACCAAAAAAAAACCCAAAAAACAAAAAAAACAAAAAACAAAAAACAAAGAATTATAATTTTTTTTTGGGGGGGGGGGAGGGTGGTCAGTCATGGGACTTGAACTCTGGGCCTAAGTGCTGTCCCTCAGCTCTTCAGCTCAAGGCTAGCGCTCTACCACTTGAGCCACAGCGCCACACCACTTCCAGTTTTCTGGTGGTTTAGTGGCGATAATAGTCTCATGGGCTCTCCTGCCTAGGCTAGCTTTGAACTGTAATTTTTTTTTAGCAGATCCAAGCTTTGAACTCAGGGCCTTATATATGCTAGGTGGGCACTCTATTTGATCCACACTCCTAGTAGACTAAGAACTGTCATTTTGGGGAAGGTGTGCATATTTGTGTAATAGTACTGAGGGTTGTGTGTGTGCATGATAGTACTAAAGGTTGAACTCAGGGCCTCTTGTATTGTTCAACTTTTCGCTTATGGCTGGTATTCTAACACTTGAGGCATACTTCTACTTCTGGCTTTTTGTTGGTTAATGATAAGTAATAATCTCTTGGATTTGTCTGCTCAGGCTGACTTTGAACCTTGAGTCTCAGATTTCAGCCTCCTGAATATTTACAATTATAAATATCAGCAATCAATAACCAGCTAGGACCTGTAGTTTTTAGGCACTGGTAAAGAGGAATTAGCAATGTCTTGAAAGCCTGGTTTCTATTTACCAGGCATTATGATTTCAAGAGGACTGTGATATTGCTTTCAGTTTTCCTTTTTTAGATAAGTGTATTATTTATCCTCTATTGCACAAAACTTCCAGGACATAGATTATTTAAGTAAAAAATGTTGTTGTTGTTTTTTTGGTCCAGTCGCGGGGCCTGAACTGTGGGCCTGGGCGCTGTCCCTCAGCTCTTCACTTCAAGGTTAGCATTCTACCACTTGAGACACAGCGCCACTTGGCTTTTTTTCCCCTGCTTACGTGGTGCTGAGGAATCGAACCCAGGGCCTCATGCATGCAAGGCAAGTGCCCTACCACTGAGCTACCTTTCCAGCCTGAAAAAAAATGTTTTTAAGCTCAGTTTGATGGTTTATGCCTATAATCCCAGCTACTTAGGAGGCAGAAACAGAAATATCTCTGAACAGCATTTGCCAAAGGAAAGTACAAGATCCTGGGGCTGGGAAGGTGGCTCAGTGGTAGAGCGCTTGCCTTGCATGCATGAGGTCCTGGGTTCGATTCCTCAGCACCACATAAGCTAAAAGAAAAAAGCCGGAAGTGGCACTGTGGTTCAAGTGGTACAGCGTTAGCCTTGAGCTGAAGAGCTGAGGGACAGCGCCCAGGCCCAGAGTTCAGGCCCCCCGACTGGACCAAAAAAAAAAAAAGAAAGAAAGTACAAGATCCTTATGTCCACTAAACTAGTAAAAAGCTAGAAACAGAGCTGAGGCTCAAGTGGTAGAGTGCTAGCTCTGAGCAAAAACTAAGGAAGCCAGGTGCCGGTGGCTCACACCTGTAATCCTAGCTACTCAGGAGGCAGATATCTGAGTATCACAGTTCAAAGCCAGCCCTGGCAGGAAAAGACCATGAGACTCTTATCTCCAATAAACCACTCAGAAAACCAGAAGTAGTAGTGTGGCTCAAGTGGTAGAGCACTAGCCTTGAGCTGAAGAGCTGAGGGACAGCACCCAGGCCCAGAGCTCCAGACCCATGACAGACAAAAAAAAAAAAAACTAAGGAAGCTGGGCGCCAGTGGCTAATGCTTATAATTTAGCTACTCAGGCTGAGATCTGAGGATCGCAGTTCAAAGCCAGACTGGGCAGTAAAGACCGTGAGACTCTTATCTCCAATTAACCACCAGAAAACTGGAAGTGGCGCTGAAGCTCAAGTGGTAGAGTGCTAGCCTTGAGCTGAAGAGCTGAGGGGCAGTGCTCAGGTCCAGAGTTCAAGACCCACAACTAACAACAATAACAACAAAAAAGCTGGGTTTGGTGGTAAGCATTTATTTCTCCAGTTATGGTGAAAAGTATACAGGATCATGGTCTAGGCATGGGCTCAGGAAAAAGAAAAACTCTTATTTTTAAAGTAATCAATACAAAAAAGGGGCTGATGCATAGCTCAGTTGTAGAATGCCTACCTAGTAAGACTGAGGCCCTTATTTCAAATTTTAGTACTACCAAAAAGAAGGGGGTAGGGGACAAAATACAGTCAAAGGGCTGGGGGTGTATTCAAGTGGCAGAGAGTGTGCCTAGCATATGTATGAGACCTTGGGTTCAATTCCCATATAATCATAACACAATATAAGTAGTAAACTGCTGATAAGTCTTTATGACCTTGATAGTAACTGTTTTGGCAACGTTTTCAAAAAGTACAGGAAAGACCTCTTGCTATAGTAGTTTAACAATTACTCAGTACAGAATACATGCAGGTTTTAACAGTGCACCTACTGCTCCAGTCAGCATGTCATACATTAATGCTCCCAAGCTCCACCAATCCACAGCACGATTGTGGCCACTTCTCATCAAGATTTCTGGGGCCCTACAATGAGAAAAAGATGCCTCAAAATGTACCCAATTGCATTTTATCCGAATTAAGATATTAAAAACAAAAATAAGTTCAAGCCCCAGAAAAAATAAAAAAACAAAAAAGTACAGGAAGTATACTACTGAAAATTATGACATATTACTTAAACCAGGTAAAACGTATGACCCCCCCCAAACCAGGTATATTTCTTTTAACATATAGCTCACATGTATTCTATTGTTCCACAAAATGTGTGTGTGACTGTTCCATCATGAATAGATTCTTTGCATAGTCCAAAGTCTGTTAGTTTCACATGACCTATAATGAAAGATTACAGAATGATTATTCTGAGAATTTAAGTATGTGCAGTGTTTGAACATATGTGACAATAACCTATCATTCCGTTTAAATTTTCCTGTCTTCAGCTTTATTCTTGATATCAAGAACTAAGTAGGATACATATTTAAGGATAAAAGTAATTCTTTAAGGCCCGAAGAGTCACCTTTTGCCAGTGATACAACCTATCTACTAAGTCTTTTTTTTTTTTTTTCCAAGCCCCAGTTCTGAGGCTTGAACTCAGGGCCTAGGAACTATCTCTGAGCTTCTTTTTGCTTAAGGCTAGCACTCTACCAATTGAGCCACAGCACCATTTCTGGCGTTTTCTGTTTATGTGGTACGAGGAATTGAACCCAGGGTTTCATACATGCTAGCCGTTAAGCCGCATTCCCAGCCCTCTACTAAGTCTTAAATAGAGAAAATAGTAATATAGCTGGTCTGAGGCTCTAACTTTACATAAATGCAGAATCTTCTTTCATTCTGAGAATGAAATGTCCTTGAAAAGCTACATTTTTAAGTCTGGTATAAGATATATAGATAGATATAGATATATGTATATATTGCAGTCTACTATTTATTTTGTATGTGTGTCAGTCCTAGAGTTTGAACTCAGGGTCTGGGCAATGTCCTTAGCTTTTTATTTTTATTTTTTATTTTTTGAGGGGGGAAGGTTGGTCGTGGGTCTGAGCACTTTCTCTCAGCTCTTCAGCTCAAGGCTAATGCTCAACCACCTGAACCACAGCGCCAATTCCAGCTTTTTCTATTTATGTGGTGCTGAGGAATGGAACCCAGGGCTTCATGCATGGGAGGCAAACACTCTACCACTGAGCCACCTTCCCAGCCCCTGTCCTTAGCTTTTTTACTCAAGGCTAGCATTCTACCATTTGAGCCACAGCTCCACTTCTGGGTTTTGGGTGGTTAATTGGAGATAAAGTCTAACAGACTTTCCTGTTTAAGTTGGGTTCAAAAAGTGATCCTCAGATCTCAGCTTCCTGAGGAGCTAGGATTACAGATATAAGCTACTGGCACCTGGAATATATTCTATTTTTAACTCAAAGTTCACAGAACTTCAAATATATAACTTTTGTCACAGTAAACTATAACTTGAGAGTTCTTACAATGATATAAGAAAGTACAATAAATACATTACTCTTCCCCTTGGTGGAAAGAAAGCTGCTTATGGCTAAATTCTACCATTTAAGGGAAATAGTGGAAGTGGGTGGATAATTATCTCTACGCCAGAAGGTGGAGCTCCATTTTCTGAAAGGTAACTTCAGTTTAAGCTTTTATCAATTGTCATTTGATTAACGAACAGTATCACACCAGGGACCCTACTATTTTTAGTTATTTCAGAGAAAAGGCAATGTCCTACTGATTCAAGTATAAATATATACTACGTTTTGATAATGAGGAAGTATTACTTTTTCTTTCTTTCTTTTTTTTTTTGAGATGGTAGGTATCCCAGACAGCCTCGAACTTGAGATCCTCTTGCCTCTGCTTCCTGAGTGCTGCAATTTAGAATACTACCACAGTTGGCCATAATCTTTATTTTCATAAAACCACATGATAATCAAGCTTAATGGATCAAAGAAATTTCCTATTCCGTCCTTCTCTTATTCTACCTTTTGCCTTCAAATTCAGAAAGAGAATCCATGTATGGGGGTGAGGCATGGAGAAAGAGAGACAGTTCTTCTTACAATAAATATACTTTGTTTATATTATCTTTCCTTAAAAAAAAAATTAGGGGGCTGGCAATGTGGCTTAGTTGTAGGGTGCTTGCCTAGCATGCATGAAGCCCTGGGTTCAATTCCTTAGTACCACATAAACTTTAGAAAAACTGGGAAATGACGCTGTGGCTCAGGTGGTAGAGTGCTAACCTTGAGCAAAAGAAGCTCAGGGACGGTTTCCAGGTTCTGCATTCAAGCCCCAGGACTGGCAAAAAAAAAAAAAAATTAAAACTACTTGAAGCATTTATATAGGTCCCAATTGTCTATCATTTTCTGCCTGAGTCTGAAAAAGTTACTACTTTATGGACTTATTTTGTTATCATCTAAGGCTCAACATACTGCCAGATACTCTAGTGTGGTGATTGCCCCTCAGGGGTCTGAGTGAAATGCAAATCCACCTATCCCAGATAACTATAGTACAAATCTATAGTACAAAACTATAGTACAAAGTGAGTTCTGTAGGGCTCATGTAGTTGTAATCAGGCTCACTTTTTGCTCTACCTGTAAGCTACACACAGTATTGGTCTCTCTGATGTTTATCGTCACAAACAAAAGAAACTATGCCTATAAAACATTTTATTTCCAAGGCTTTATCAGATAGTTCAAATTCAATCTTTTCTTTTTCCAGCATTAGTAAAGTTTATTAAGAAGTACTATTTGTCTATTTATGGGTTTTTGTTTTGTTTTTGCCAGTCCTTGGGCTTGAAGTCAGAACCTGGGCATTGTCCCTGAGCTTCTTTTGCTCAACGTTAGCACTCTATCACTTGAGTCACAGTACCACTTCTGGATTTTTCTGTTTATGTGGTACTGAGCAATCGAACTCAGGGCTTCATGCATGCTAGGCAAGCACTCTGCCACTAAGCCACAGTCCCAGGCACTATTTATGCATTTTTATAATTAAAACTCAACTTATAAGCTGAGTGTGGTGGTACACATCTGAATCTTACCACTTGGGAGGCTGAGGCAGGAAGATTCTTAGTTCAAGGCCACCCTAGGCTTCAAAGTGAGTTCTAGACCAGCTTGAGCTGCAAAGTAAGACTCTAAACAAAACAAAACAAAAGAACTCCCACTCAATTAATACTGTTAAGACATACTTTTCAGGGCTAAGATGTGGCTAAGTGGTTAATCCCCAGTACCAAAGATACACATTTTTTTTGTATGTGCCAGTACTGAGGCTTGAACTCAGGGCCTAAGTGCTATTCCTTAGCTTTTTCTGTTTGGGGTACTCTACCACTTAGCCACAGCTCTACTTCCAGCTTTTTGCTGGCTAACTGGAAACAAAAGACTTACTAACTTTCCTGCCCAGGCTGACTTGGAACTATAATCTTCACATCTCAGCCTCCTGAGTAGCTGTGAGTTACTGGTCCTCAGCTCAATATACTTTTCAATTAAGGAATAAACCAAAGTTAATGTTTGGATTAGCATTTGGCTCAGGATACTTTATAAGAACAGAAGAACGAAAGAACGAAATTAAGAAAGAAGGAAAGAAAGGTGTTCAGGGCTAATACTTGTAATCTTAGCTACTCATTAGGCTGAGATCAAGAGGAACAGAGTTCCAGAAGCCAGCTTGGGCAGAAAAGTCCTCCAGACTCCAACTGCAAAATAACCAGTTAAAAACCAGGCTGGAGGCATGATTCAAGTAATAGAATACTAGCTGAGCAACAAGCTGAGCCAAGTTTGAAACCCTTGAGTTCAAATCCCAGCATGATCAAAAAAAAATGAAAAAAGAAAGGAAGAAAAGGTCTAAAGAGTGGCTACTCTCTCCAAGTCTGTTTAATTTTTTCAGTTGTAAGTAATATTATCAAATGCCTAAATAACATCAGCAAGTATTAATATGTATCAGTTCTGAAGGACAAAATGTATGGTAATAAGAGAGAAATATGAAGCCTTGAAATGGCCATGACCTGTGTGGGAGGATATTAAGATGATTATTTACTACAGAATTGCTTATGACATATCTCCACCTTGGTGATTAAGCATGATGTTCTCCGGCTTCAGGTCTCTGTAGATGATCCCCTTTTGATGTAAATGCCCCAAAGCCATGGAGATTTCTGCCAAGTAAAAGCTGGAAACAAAAATGATTTCATAAAATTAAGAAAAGTAATCTACCCAAAGCAGATTATGTATGGAGCAAAATTCCTTGAAAGAAACAGACATGCACCAAAGACCAAATTAGTGGGGAAGGTGGGGAATGTGTGAGGAAAGAGATGGTACTAGATGCTACCAAAAGGCATGGGGAAATTTGTTTCACTTGATTTAGTGAAACTATGTTTTACTTTGCCATTAGAATATACTATTCAAAACTGCAAACGTGTCTAGAATATACCAAACTATCATTGACCAAATTCTGTTCTGTCTTTGTAGGGATTAGGCCAACAGTCATTCAGATTAAAGCAAATTCCTCCCACCCACCCCCAACTTTAAAATCCCATAACATATAAGAACTTTATTATTCTCAGAGATCAAGTCTTGATTTAAAAAGTTACCTTAAAACCTGACCCTTAGAATTCCATTCATCCCTTACTTAATACAGCTGTCTATAGACAGCTATGCCCACAGTATCTGCCCTCCCTCTTGCCAGCCAGCCCACAAACTATAGACTGTGTGACACTCAAATTTATCTACCTCAAAAGAATAAAGGGCTGAGTCAACCCTGTCTGGATTCGAAAAGCACAAGGCACTGCAATACTGGCTGCATAACAATGTTGCAATCCTGCAGATTACTCCAGGATGGAGAGGGTGTGTCCTAGAGCACTGAGGCAGTTTCACAGCCAGCAGGACCACAAACACAGCCTCCAACATGGCTCAGAGAGCCTCCTCCAAAAAAGGGCACTTCATCCCTAAGGCTCTTAAATGCAGCTTCTGTGTTAGAAAAGGCCTGAAATTAAACAATGAATGAAGTTTGGTAATTAAGATAGGAAAAACATTTAAGTGTTTTTTTCTATTCAATTAATGTGTAGGATTAACTAATTTATCATTACCCAATATCATCACTTTTTGAAAGGATGCGCACATTTTTAATTTGAAGCAGATGTCCCATTATAAATAGAAGGGCAGATCCCATCCTGGCTATAGAGTCAACTACAGATGATATGTTCCCAGGCATATAACTCCCCTAAAACTGGAAAGTCTTAAATAGAAAGAAAGAAAGAAAGAAAGAAAGAAAGAAAGGAAGGAAGGAAGGAAGGAAGGAAGGAAGGAAGAAAGAAAGAAAGAAAGAAAGAAAGAAAGAAAGAAAGAAAGAAAGAAAGAAAGAAAGAAAGAAAGGAAGGAAGGAAGAAAGGAAGGAAGGAAGGAAGAAAGAAAGAAAGACAGAAGAGATAGAGGCAAAAAAAGATTTCTGATACTTCTATTGCTCTACATACAAAGTTTTACCTGAAAACCACATTCACAAGAGCCAAGGCAGGCCGTTTACCAATTCGAGGGGGAAAAAAAGTCCCAAACAGAATGGTTGTTAGGACCAACTGTATGAAGAGCAATCCACCCAAAGTCTGGGGCAAAGGAATCACATGATCTCCAATAGCTGCCCAGTCCCAAAGCTATTTCTCCTCCTTGAAGTTCTGAATTACTGACTGGCTCCAATCAGTTTACTGATCATATGACTGCCCACAGTGAGAATGGGACTTTGTTTTTAATTATATGAATTATTACCTGAAACCATGAAATCATAAAAAATTCACTCACCAGGCTGTGTCTTCCATAAATATTCCCTCTCTTTCTAACTGCATAAATAGTTCTCCTCCTGTAGAGAAAAGGAGGAGTCATTAGAAGTAATAACTTTTTATTTCCAATTCACTTATAATGATTTTGTGCTTGCCTTCTAACTATAATAAAAGATACTATTTCCTTAAAAAAAAAATCCCCCAAATTATGTTTTAAAACAAAATCTGCAAGGTTACATTTTGAGCAGTATTATTATGGCACATATAAAGTTTGAAAACTAGAACTGGCTTGGAATTCTAGATTTCACATCTACAAACTTGAAAATATAGATTTCAGACCTTTAGCCTGAACAAGTATTTTGATTATAGTCTCTTTAACATTTTACTCTTAAGTAGAAAATTGATACTATACAATTAAACTATCCTAATTTTAGTGAATGCTAGCATTTCATATTTTCAGAATCCTTAAAGTGACTCTGTGATAAGCATGGCACAATTTGAGGATGAAGGTAAATAACAAAGGGCTATATTTCATTTAGTAATCTTAGAATCCAGGAGTCCATGATGATGTAGATAAATGAATAAATGCAATCTTTAAATGGGTCAGAAAGGAAAGCTCTTTAATACATTAGAATGCCAAGTAATCAATGAAGAAGGCATGATGGAATAAGAAAAATCATTTGCTAAACATCTCAGTTAATTATTACAGGCAAGAATCAATGGATGCCAAAACTAAATATGAAAGCTTGATGAGATGACATATTTAAAGAATTTCAAAGTATCTCCTTAAAAGATACTTATTAATTACAAAAGGAAGAAACTGGCAGATACCATCTAACACATATGACCAAAGTGAACATCACCAATAGTGGGACAAAAAATATAAATACCATGTACCTCCTGTTCTGAACACTGAAAAAGATACAATGACATTTCTATGATCTTGAACTTGAATCTAATCCTAAAGAAACATCAGATAAACCCAAGTTGATACATTCTACAAAATAACTGGCTGGCACTCCTTTTTTATTTTTATTTTTGACGCCAGTTCTGGACCTTGAACACAGGTGCTGGGCACTGTATCTGAGCTTTTTTGTCCAAGACTAGCTCTCTACCAGTTGAACCACAGCTCTACTGACTTTTTGAGGGTGTTTGGAAGTAAGAGTCACAATGACTTTCCTATCCAGATTGGCTTCAAATTGTTATCTTTAGATTTCAGCCTCCACAGCAGCTAAATTACATGTATGAGCCACCAGCACACAGAGACAAAGACAGAGAAACTGATCCACATTTTTAAAAAAACTAAGGAAATTCTTTTTAGTGTGTGTGTGCCAGAACTCAGAGCTTTGAGTTCTTGCTTGGCTTTTGTGCTCATGCCTGAACTCTACCACTTGTAGAATGTTGAATCTCAGAGTTATCAGCCCAGAGTAGCTTAGAAATGTGACTCTCAAGACATCAGTCTCCTGAGCAGCTGAGATTATAAGCATAAACCATCAGCATCTGGCTACTTATTTTTTGATAATTTTAGTACAATTATCTAAAAGATTGTCCTTGATTTTAGAAAGCCAGCACTGAGGTTTTTAAAAGCAAATGTCTGTATTGCTCTTAAAACAGTCTGGAAAATTATCTGAGTGTGTGTGTATAATATGCACATAATACAAACATAGGCAGGGGCTGGGAAGGTGGCTCAGTGGTAGAGCGCTTGCTTTGCATGCATGAGGTCCTTAGTTTGATTCCTCAGCACCACATAAGCAGGAAAAAAAAGCCGGAAGTGGCGCTGTGGCTCAAGTGGTAGAAAGGTAGCCTTGAGCTGAAGAGCTGAGGGACAGCGCCCAGGCCGAGAGTTCAGACCCCACAACCGGACCCAAAAAAAAAAAATCGTGTGTGTGTGTGTGTGTGTGTTTGTGTGTGTACACACATAGGCATAAAAAGGATGATGAAACAAGTGTAAAATGGTAATATGTGGAGGATCTAGGTGAGCAGTATATGAGAATTCTTTGTAATATTCTTTTTGTTTATTAGAGGTAGGGTCTCACTATGTAATTAGGCTGGCCTCCTGCCTCTTATCTACCAAGTGCTGGGATTACAGGTCACTATACTCAATTCTGTGTAGTAGGTGAAAGTTTTTTTATTTAAGTCTGAAATTTTATCAAAATAAAGTTACCAAAAAACTGTAGTCACAAAAAGTTGCAAAATTCCAGTTTTCTGTTCCATGTCATGAGCTATTTTGAAATATGTTTCTTAGAAATCTCAAGGGTGAGTCAGGTACCAGTGATTCAGGTCTATAATCCCAGCCACTCAGAAGGCTGAGATCTGAGGATCACAGTTCGAAGCCAGCCTAGGCAGTAAAATCTGTAAGACTCTTATATCCACAAAAACTACCCAAAAAACTGGAAGTGGTGCTGTAGATCAAGTGGTAGAATACTAGCCTTCACACAAAAGCTCAGGGTCAGTCCCCAAGCCCAGAGTTCAAGCTGCAGAACCAGTACAGAAAAAAAGAAAGAAAGAAAAAAAAAAAAAGAATCTCAAGGGTGCTTGCTGAAAATATACTTGTGATTTAGAAATGGGAAGCAACAGGTTTCCAACAGGTGGTAAAATGTGGAAAATGTGATGATTCCTACATACCCTATCATTAAAACTACATTAAAAACACCTTTGTGGTGGGATGCTTGTGGCTCGTGCCTGTAATCCTAGCTATTCAGGAGGCTGAGATCCGAGGACTGCAGTTTAAAGTTAGCCCCGATAGGAAAGTCCCAAAGACTCTGATTGCAATTAATCACCAGAAAACCACTAGTGGCACTGTGGCTCAACGTAGTAGAACACTAGTCTTGAGCAAAAGAGCTCAGGGACAGTGCCAGGCCCCGAATTCAAGTCCCACAAATGACAAAACAAAACTTCTTTGTGGAAAAATATAATCTCAAAACTTCGGTACGTTAATATTTTCAACAAGTTTTCTCACTTCAATTTAGAAATAAATGTATTAATAGTTTATTTGAATTCTATAATCTTACTCCAGCACAACTAATTATGTTTAAGTGGTTTATTACAAAGGGACTAACATTTTATAGATAAGAAAACAACGGAGTTTCCTTCCTATTTGCAAACGTATTCACATCTGAATTCCTTACTTCACTGTGCTCATTAGTGTTAAGAATTATTTGATCACAATGGGAAAAAGCATTTTTCCATTGGAAAACAATGGTTAGACCCAGTTTCTGGAGTAAATGTAAAATAATTACACAAACTGTGTACTGACCACTGAGATACTCAAGGATGAGGTAGAGTTTTCCACCGGTCTGAAAGGCATAAATTAAATCCACAATGAAGGGATGCTTTACTTCCTCCAGAATATTCCGTTCTGCTTTTGTATGAGCTGTATCTTTAGCATTTCTTACTATCATTGCCTAAAGGAAAAGAGATGAGCTATAAGAACAAAATAGTGAACATTTTTATTCTGTAGAAACTGGAAAATCTATGTTGTGGCCTGACCAATACTGAATAGCACCCATTAGAAACTGAGATGGGGAAGTAGAAGATATTTGCTTCTATCTAAAGTATTTGATTGTTTGGCAGTAAGCATGTAAATGAAAACCTAAAGACATATTTTCTAAGAAATCTGCAAGCAAATCAAGTTTATTCATATATTCACTAACTGTTAAGTATTTCCAGGCTCTGTGCCAAGAAAGCAGAACTAACAGGAGGAGCACCCTATCTGTGCGGCCTAGAGTATAAGGGAAAAAGGTGAGTCAATGAAAGTGAGCACAGATCACTTTGAGTGAACTTCATCCAACCTGGCAAGAAATTTTCCTCTAGGTACCTGAGCTGTACCTTGGAAAGATACAATGTAGAAGGAAACGAATAGAGACATTCCAATGGAAAAAATGCTGAACAGGACATATCCAGGAAATCTACAAGCAGTTTAGTATGGTTTACAGTGGTTAAAGATTGGAAAAATAGGCAGAGGCCAAGAAATGGAGGGGGTTAAACATCTAGGCAAAGTTACTGGAAATTTAGAGGCAAAAAAGAAATCTCGAGATGAGTATAGCAAATAACCTTTGACTTTGAGAAAAACAGTGCTAGTAGCATCGTGGAATTTGAGAAGAAAGGAGACTTAGAAAGGTAGTTATAGGAGGGAGGCTGGGAATGTGGCTTAGTGGTACCGTGCTTGCCTAGCATGCACGAAGCCCTGGCTTCAATTCCTCAGTACCACATAAACAGAAAAGGCTGGAAATGGTGCTGTGGCTCAAGTGGTAGAGTGCTAGCCTTGAGCAAAAGAAAATCATCAGAGACAGTGCTCAGGCCCTGAGTTCAAGCCCCAGGACTGGAAGAAAAAAAAAAAGAAAGCTAGCGTAGGAAAAAAGTAGGAGCATTTGTAAATGAGAAATCAAGGTAGAAAAATAAAGATGAAAGACTGAAGATACATAATTTATACTTGTTGACTAACCAGATACAAGAAGAAATAATGAGCCAGGTGCCAGTGGTTCATGACTATAATTCTAACTACTCAGGAGGCTGAGATCTGATGATCACAGTTCAAAGCCAGCCTGGGCAGAAAAATCTGTGACACTCTCATATCCAATTAACCATGAGAAAATCAGAAGTGGTGCTGTGGCTCAAGTGGTAGAGCACTAGCCTTAAGCTAGAGCTCAGGGGCAGTGCCCAAGCCCAGAGTTAAAGCCCCATGACTGACCAAAAAAAAAAAAAAAAAGAAAGAAAGAAAGAAATGATAGGTTGGTAATGTGGCTTAATGTAGAGTGCTTGCCTAACATGAGCCTTGAGCTCGGGGACTGTGCCCCAGGAATGACAAAGGAGGAGGAGAAGGAGGAGGAGGAGGAAGGAGGGAGGGAGGGAGGGAGGGAGGGGAGAGGTGGGAGGAGGGGAAGAAGGAAAAGGAAGAAGAGTAGAGGAGGAAGGGGAGGAGAAGGGGAGGGGGAGGAAAGGGGTAGGAAGGTGAAGAGGAAGAAGAGAGGGAAGGGGAGGGGAGGAGGAGGGGGAGAAGGAGGAAGAAATGATAATACCCTGTTTCTGCGAAGTACACAATAGAATCATTTTAACAACAGAATGGAAGTGGGGGCAAAAATTATTTTAAGATGACATACTTGTTAGGTTTTTAAAAAGAGGTAGCCGAGTAAGAACAGCACCACGCACGTGGTATTCAGGTAAGGGGTAAGTTTATTCAGTAGACCTGCTGGGACCAGGTCAGGCTGGCACTCCACTCCGCTGGCAAAGAGGGCGTCTGGTCCTGGGCTAGGCCTTATCTAGGGTAGGGACGGGGAAAGGTGTGGCCAGGTAAAGGGAGGTGGGACCAGGTAAGAGGAGGTAGGACCAGGTGGGAGAAAGGTGTGGCCACATCAGATCCAGATGTGACCTCAGCAGATGCAGATGTGACCTCTTCCAGGTGTCCCAGTTGCCTAGGTAACACAGGTACTGGGTAGGGTCTGGTCGCCATCCAGGAATGGACCTTACAATATTGTGTTGGATATGCTAAGTCTACATTCTAGGAAGATACCTTGTGGTACACACCTATAGTAATATGAAAAATGCATACATAAGGTTATTAGTTGCAACATTATGTACAAAGTGAAGTGCTGGGAAAAAAAATTAAACGCCAGAAAAATGTTGTCTGAAGATCTACAGAAAATACAATATGTGGGCTGGGAAGGTGGCTCAGTGGTAGAGCACTTGCCTTGCATGCCTGAGGCCCTGGGTTCGGTTCCTCAGCCCACATAAGCAAAAAGAAACAAGCTGGAAGTGGCACTGTGGCTCAAGTGGTAGAGCGCTAGCCTTGAGCTGAAGAGCTGAGGGACAGTGCCCAGGCACAGAGTACAGGCCCCACGACCGGACCACCCCCAAAAAAAAATTAAAAAAAAAAAAAAAAAGAAAAGAAAATGCAATATGTGCTGGGCACTGGTGGCTCACACCTGTAATCCTAGCTATTCAGGAGGCTGAGATCTGAGGATAGTGGTTCAAAGCCGCCCAGGCAGGAAAATCCATGAAACTCAAAACCGGAAGTGGTGATGTAGCTCAAGTGATAGAGCGCTAACCTTGAGCTGAAGAGCTGAGGGACAGTGCTCAGCCCCACAGTTCAAGCCCCACGACCGACCCAAAAAAAAAAAAATGTGTAGGAAAATAAAACTATAAAAAGAACAATGAACACCTCTATGAAAGCAATATGCAAAACAGTAAATAGGAGCTGGGAAGGTGGCTCAGTAGTAGAGTGCTTGCCTTGTATGCATGAGGCCCTGGGTTCGATTCCTCAGCACCACCTCAGCAGAAAAAGCTGGAAGTGGCGCTGTGGCTCAAGTGGTAGAGCGCTAGCCTTGAGCTGAAGAGCTGAAGAGCTGAGGGACAGCGCTCAGGCTCAGAGTTCAGGCCTCATGACAGACAAAAAAAAAAAAAAAGTAAATACAGACACATCTTTAGTACATATATATGTGTATGTGTATGTGTGTATGTACATATATGTATATGTATAGATAGATAGCATGGTATCATTTATTCAAGTATGGAGAAATAAGAATACACATATGAGCTGTGTGAGGCGGTAGAGCACTAGTCTTGAGCTGAAGACCTGAGGGACAGCACCCAGGCCCAGAGTTCAGGTCCCACGACTGGACACCCCCCCACCCCAAAAAAAAGAGTTCTTAATTAGGGAGGGGGTGGCTAACACCTGTAATCCTAGATACTCAGAACACTGAGATCGGAGGATCACAGTTCAAAGCCAGCCTGGGCAGGAAAGTCCATAAGATTCTTATCTCCAATAAACCACTAGAAAACCGGAAGTAGCACCATGGCTCAAAGTGGTAGAGTGCTCAACTTGAGCTGAAGAGCACAAGGACAGAGCCCAAGCCCAGAGTTCAAGCCCCATGACCAACCAAAAAAAAAAAAAAAGGGAGTTGGAGAAACCAGGGACCAATGGCTCATGCCTGTAATCCTAGCTACTCAGGAGGCTGAGATCTGAAGATCACGGTTCAAAGCCAGCCTTGGCAAGAAAGTCCATGAAACTTATTTCCAATTATCCACCAGAAAACTGGAAGTGGAGCTGTGGTAGAGCACTTACCTTGAGCTGAAGAGCTCAGGGACAGCAACCAGGCTCATAGTTCAAGCCCAGAGTTCAAAAGGAATTGGAGATTATAAATCTTCCCAATAGTACTCTACAGGTTTTGTGGTTTCTGCCAGCATTGCTTAGTAGTTGAGATACAGGAATAAAGCTGGTTCAAATTAAGACTTGCTTTGACAAGGTCAAAGTGGCTAGCAAATGAATAATATGGCAGATCATACTGATTAGGCTGATTCAAAAAAAAATTTAACAGTTTAAGAATTTGGTGTCGAAGTAAAAGCAGAGGAATTGGTATCATCAAAGTATTAACAGGCTAGGTTATTGGTGATGTCTGTAATACAACAACAGTGAAGATACCTATGATGATAAGACTTGGACATGGACATGGAGGGAAAAGACTGAGTTAGGTATTGAAGTCTTCATAAATTTGAAGAAAAAAAAAGGAAATGGGGTAGACAAACGTGGGAAATAGGGGCAGGAAGATTATAGGCTTATTTCTCAAAGGAGAAATGGGTTTCTCAAAGGGCACACAAGTAATTTTAAGATTAAATTTATTCATACTTTCTTTGAATGATACAGTAAGTACAGAAGCAGAGACAACATTTCTCTTATTATAAATCTTAGTATTTAGCATCATGTCTGCCATATAGACAAATGGTTCAATGAAAAGTAGAATAGAAGAAACACAGCAAATCCTGAACTTTTGGCCAAAGGTTCTGAATTTTATAATGTAGGTGAATGAATGCCAAGAATGAGAGTATTTGGGGCTGGGAAGGTGGCTCAATGGTAGAGCGCTTGCCTTGCATGACTGAGGTCCTGGGTTCGATTCCTGAGCACCACATAAAGAAAAAAGCCGGAAGTGGCACTGTGGCTCAAGTGGTAGAGCGCTCATATTGAGCTGAAGAGTTGAGGGACAGCACCCAGGCCCAGAGTTCAGGCCCCACGACCGGATCCAAAAAAAAAACAAACAAACAACAAAAAAAAAAGAATGAGAGTATTTGTTTCTATAGTACATTTCTGTTGCAAAAATGTAGAATAAGGAGATGGCTGTTCAGTGTTTTTTTTTCAACATTCTACCATGAGTCAATACCCAAATGGGACCTTTCCTATGAAAAAGTATATAATCTGGTTATATACAACTCACTTAAGTGAGTTATAAACAACTCACTTAAGAAAATGGGACAGGGCTGGGAAGGTGGCTCAGTGGTAGAGCGCTTGCCTTGCATGCCTGAGGCCCTGGGTTCGATTCCTCAGCACCACATAAGCAAAAAGAAAAAAAGCCGGAAGTGGCACTGTGGCTCAAGTGGTAGAGTGCTAGCCTTGAGCTGAAAAGCTGAGGGACAGCGCCCAGGCCCAGAGTTCAGGCCCCACGACCGGACCAAAAAAAAAAAAAAAAGAAAATGGGACATAAGCTTCCCCTCCAATTTAATCTTTAATCCTGGAAAGAAGTATATTCATTCTTCCTACATTCTTAGGTCAGGGAGGGTAATATTTTCTGTCTCCAGAATTAAAACAGAAGGAACTCAAAAGGAAGAGCATACTGTCATCTCATCTAGGGATTCAGAAATTAAAATGCACTTCACTTTTTTTTCTTTTTGATGCCAGTACTGGGGCTTGAATTTAGGGCAAGAGTGCTATCGCCTTTTTTTTTGCTCAAGGCTGGTACTCTACCACGTGAGCTACACTTCCCCTTCTAGCTTTTTACTGGCTAATTAGATATAAGTCTCATAAACTTGTTTGCTTGGACTGGCTTCAAACCTCAGATTTAGCCTCTTAAGTACCTAGGATTACAGGCATGAGTCATTGGTACCTGACTGCTTTCATTACTTTTGCTGCAAGCTTGTTTGAGGACAGCAAGGAAGAATAGAGTATCTGATCCTCTAGCCAAGCTTAGGGCAAGTACCGTAAGAGTAAGAAGGAATAATAACCAAGCCAAATGATGCTTTGGCTGACAGGAGTCATGACCCTTAGCAGTAATTAAGATTTCCTAGTATGTACTTTATCACTATTAGTAAACAAAAAACCAACATCTTTTTTTCCCCCCCGGTCATAGGGCCTGAACTCTGATCCTGGGCACTATCTCTCAGCTCTTCAGCTCAAGGCTAACATTCTACCTCTTGAACCAGTGACACTTCCAGCTTTTTCTGCTTATGTGGTGCTGAGGAATCAAACCCAGGGCCTCATGCATGCAAAGCAAGCGCTATACCACTGAGCCACCTTCCCAGCCCAACATTTTCTTTTTCACTAAAGGTCTAAAGTTATTTGTGCCAGGAACATATTTCACTATGGTTTAATTGATGATTAATATAAGGCAACCCAGGTATCAGATATGAAATTGGTTACTTAAGAATCTTGAATAGTACTTTAATTCTAGTACTCAGGATGCTGAGGCAGGAGGATGGAGAGCTCAAGAGGCTAAAACAAGCCACCCAAAATGTAATAATAAAAATATAAAATAAACTGGTGGCTCATGCCTGTAATTCTAGCTACTCAGAAGCTGATTTCTGAGGATCACGGTTCAAAACCAGCCTGCCCCCTCTGTATGGTATTTTCACAATAAGAAAACTTACTTTAAAAAAAAAAAGCCTGGACAGGAAAGACTGTGATACTCTTATCTCAAATTAGCCACCAGAAAACCAAAAGTGGCTTGAAGTGGTAGAATGCTAGCCTTGAGCACAAGCAATCTCAGGGACAGCAACCAGACCCTGAGTTCTATCCCCACCATTGACCAAAAAAAAAAAAAAAAGAAAGCCGGGCGCTGGTGGCTCACGCCTGTAATCCTAGCTACTCAGGAGGCTGAGATCTGAGGATCTCGGTTCAAAGCCAGCCCGGGCAGGAGAGACCGTGAGACTCCTATCTCCAATAAACCACCAGAAAACCGGAAGTGACGCTGTAGCTCAAGTGGTAGAGCGCTCGCCTTGAGCTGAAGAGCTGAGGGACAGCGCCCAGGCCCAGAGTTCAAGCCCCATGACCGACAAAAAAAAAAGAAGAAGAAGAAAAGAGAACAGGAACTCAGAAGAGAGAAACATTTCATACGCAAAGGAAAACATTAAAGAGGGCTGGGAAGGTGACTCAGTGGTAGAGTGCTTGCCTTGCATGCATGAGGCCCTGGGTTTGATTCCTTGGCACCACATAAGCAGGAAAAGCCGGAAGTAGTGCTATGGCTCAAGTGGTAGAGTGCTAGCCCTGAGCTGAAGGACAGCGCCCAGGCCCAGAGTTCATGCCCACAACCGAGAAAGAAAGAAAGCAAGAAAGCAAGAAACCCTCAAAGGGGGCCAGGCGACTATAGCTCACATCTGTAATCCTAGCTACTCAGGAGGCTGAGATCTGAGGATCACTGTTCAAAGCCAGCTGGGGCAGGAAAGTCTGTGAGACTCTTATCACCAATGAACTACTAGAAAACCAGAAGTGCCGATGTGGCTCAAGCAGTAGAGAACTCACCTTGAGCTGAAGAGCATAGGGACAGTGCCCAAGCCCAGAGTTCAAGTCCCATGGCTGACAAAAAAAAAAACTCGAAGGGGGCTCAGTAGTATAGTACTTGCCTGACATGTACAAAGCTCTGGGGTCAATGTCCAGCCCCATCACTCTTAACATTCATACATGCATGCACACAATCAAGTATAAAAGTCTAATAAATGTTCAAATATGGAATATGTGTTTGTAGGTGTGTATGTATGCATGTATACTTACATATGTATACATATGTCAGAATTTTTATTTTCACACACCTTTTCTCAGGAGCTACAAGCAGATCATTACCATATCAAGGAAACGACATAAGAAAGAGAAAAACATGAAATCTCAAAACAGGATCCAGTATTGAAGGAGCCAAGATTTTAGGGACAACGGTTAATGACAGGTCTAAAGGAACTCCATTCCTAGAGAGCGATAAGCTAAGAATGGAGAAACAAAAGACTCCTAAAAAGAGACCTCTAGCAAAGTAAATGAAACTGACAGATAATCTAATAAGTCTGACTAAAGAACACGAGACAGGCGTTTTTAAGGGTTGTTGGAAAGTGTGAGACAATAATAGAGCCAATGACAACAAACCAAAATAAGAGGGAAGAGAAAAAGGAGAATAAGAGATTAAAACCCCTAATTTTCATAACAGGAGCCCAACACATCATTCTAAAACTGCTGAACCCAGCAGTAACTACGTATGTTTATTACTTAAAAATATGGAGACTGAACAGCTAAAAGAACTACCTGGGGGGAGGGGGGGAAGATGGGAAGGGATGGGAAGGGGAAACAAAGGAGGAGGCAACAATGCTTGATAAGAAATGTACTCATTACCTTGCCCATGTAATTGTAACCCCTCTGTACGGTATTTTTCACAATTTAAAAAAAAAAGAGAGAGAAGAAAAAAAAAAGAATTACCTCAGAGGACAATTAAAAATACTCTCTATATGCTCACAACACAGAAATAAAGCAGGAATAAAAATGCAATATATGTCACATTCTAAGAAGATAACTGTTAGAAAAAAATTTTTGTGTGTGCGCTGGTACTGAGATTTGTACTCAGGATGCAGGTACTCTACCACCTGATCTATTCTGCTAGCCCTTTTTATCTTTTATAGTGCTGGAAATTGAACCCAATGCTTCAGGTATGCTAAGCATGCACTCTATTAGTGAGTTACAACAACAGTCCCCATAAGCACATTTTTTTTAATTTTATGCTAAATTTTTACAGTAATTAAGAAGGGAAGAGAAGAATCACCTTTTTAAGCACCTTCATGGCAAATATTTTTCCAGTATTTGCTCCTGTTACTTTTCTTACTTGAAAAACCTAGATAAAGAAATAAGTGTTTTTGTATTATTAACAGGCAAACTATGTAGGTCATACTATCTTAATTCATAAGATATATATAATATGATAGAATTTATTATAAAAACTAGCACCATACAAGACTAAACTCAAAAAATGACCAGCTTCAGAAACATTTTTTTATTTATGTTTTGGTTCTTTTTTGTCGGTCATGGGGCTTGAACTCTGGGCTTGGGCGCTGTCTCTGCGCTCTTCAGCTCAAGGTGAGCACTCTACAGCACTCTACCACTTGAGCCACAGCACCACTTCCCACTTTCTGGTGGTTTATGGTTTTCTGGTGGTTTATTGGAGATAAGTGTCTCACAGACTTTCCTTGCCTGGGCTGGATTTGAACCATGATCCTCAGATCTCAGCCTCCTGAGTAGCTAGGATTACAGGCGTGAGCCACCAATGTCCAGCTAGAAACATATTTTAAAATTTACTAGTGTAGTCTAGCAAATATGGGACTTTCCTGTTTGGTCTGCTGCCACCTGGTGGCAATATTTGGAAATAACTAAATGATGAATTGTACATGCTATTTTATATATAAAACCCTAGTTTACTTACAACTATAGTCAGGGTTCCCAAAAACACACTAACAAACTTAAAAACTATTAAATTGTTTCATATACTTCATTCAGGAAAAGAAACAAGAACAAGCTGCTATGTTATTGTTTGACATAAAACTAATTATAGTTGACAAAAATTACTATTTACCCATTCAACTAAATACACTGGCTATTAAACATTTTCAGTCTATAGCTAAAATATTTAAGTTTCAAAGTTGAGATCAAGCCAAGTACCAGGTTCAACAGCCTGTAATTCCAGCTACTCAGAAAGCTGAAATCTTAAGATTGAAGTTCAGAGCTGTCCTACGTGGGAAAGTCCGTGAGACTTTTTGTTTTGTTGTTGTTATTGGTGGTGGTGTTTGAGCTTTTTTCACTAAAGACTAGTGCTCTACCACTTTAAGCCACAGCACTGATTTCTGGTTTTCTGGTATTTAATTGGATAAGAGTCTCATGGACTTTGCTGCTAGGGCTGGCTTTGAACTGAGATCCTTAGATTTTAGCCTGCTGAGTAGCTAGGATTACAGGCATGATCTACCAGTGCCCAGCTAGTGACACTTTTATCTCTACCTACCGAAAATAAGAGCTAGGGGGCTGGGAATGTGGCTTAGTGGCAGAGTGCTTGCCTAGCATGCAGGAAGCTCTGGGTTCTATTCCTCTGTACCACAGACACAGAAAAAGCCAGAAGTGGTGCTGTGGCTCAAGTGGAAGAGTGCTAGCCTTGAGCAAAGCAGCTCAGGGACAGTGCCCGGGCCTGAGTTCAAGACCCAGAACTGGCAAAAAAAAGCTGGAAGTGCAGCTGTGGTTCAAGTGGTAGAGAGCAAGTCTTGAGTGTAAAAACTCAGGGACAGTGACCAGTCTGAGTTCAAGCCCCAGGAACAGCACAAAAAAAGGGATTGAGGCATGGTTCTAGCAGTAGAGTACCTACCTAACAAGGAAAAAGCCGAGTTCAAACCTCTATCACCAACAAACGACAAACAAGTAAAAGCACATGTGTTACACATTCAGGAAGAATATATTACAATGTGTCCTTAGACTTCATAATACATTATAAATCACACATTTTTCAGAATTAACATTAATAGTATAGTTATTTAACCTAATCAAGTTGCCATCTAAATTGACTTTTGAGAGGTAATAGTGAGGTCTATTTTCTTCAGTAAGATACAAAAAATGATACCTTAAATTAGAAAACCTTGGCTAGAATCAAACTACCTGTTTGTATTTTTTTAGCTTCCCTAGCTCTGTTTCTCTAGATACTCCAAGTCTAAGAAAATCAATTCCTATTAAGGTCTCAGGAATAGATAATTTAGTGTATATGTCTCTTGAAAGCAAGGAGTGATTTGTTTGTGTTTAAAGACAATACCCACATAAAGTACCATTTAACCAAAGGCAAGAATTGATCCTCTAGTAATGGGCTTTACCTAGCACAGCTAGTATTTATTCATTCAATAAATACTATTAGGCATGGTAGAAAGAAAAGGAAGAAAACCCAAACTTCTTACATCCCTCAAATTATACCAAATCATGTTCAAATCCTTTGTTGAAGTTAAGAAGACTGAAGATGACTCCTGGAACCACATTATAAAAGTCAATCTACTCAAGAAAGACAATAGCTAAATTGAAAACACTTCCTACCTTTCCATAGCCCCCTTTACCAAGTACCCGAAGTAGCTCAAAACATTCTGGTCTGATCTTTTCCGGCCCTCTGTTCACGCTAGTTTCTGAGATTTCAAATTTCTCACAATGTTCCATACCACTGGGAAGAAAAGCAAAACCAAAAGTGAATTTACAAAAAGTTGAATTCATTTTCACCAGATTAGAAAGGAGAAATGGAATCCAATTAAGAAAAAAAAAAAAAAACCTACATGTACTATATTTTGACAAGTATCTGTACTCCCAAGTGCAGGCCAATGAGTCAGTGATACAGCACATCAAAATTAGGATGAATTAACCCGGGCACTAGAAATCTGAGGATCATAGTTCGGAAGAAGCCAGCCAGGGCAGAAAAGTCCCTATGAGATTCTTTTTTTTTTTTTTTTTCGGTCCGGTCGTGGGGCCTGAACTCTGGGCCTGGGCGCTGTCCCTCAGCTCTTCAGCTCAAGGCTAGCGCTCTACCACTTGAGCTACAGTGCCACTTCCGGCTTTTTCCTTTTTGCTTATATGGTGCTGAGGAATCGAACCCAGAGCCTCATGCATGCAAGGCAAGCACTCTACCACTGAGCCACCTTCCCAGCCCCCTATGAGATTCTTATCTCCAATGAATCACTCAGTAACTGGAAGTGGAACTGTGGTTCAAAGTGATAGAGTGGTACACTTGAGCAAAAGAGATTAGGGGCAGAGCCCAGGCCCTGAGTTCAAGCCCCACAACCCACAAAAATAATAATAAGGGGGAGTGTAGTTGAAGAGGTGGGAGGGAAGGGATGGTAGGGGAAAAACAGAGGAGGAGGCAACAATGCTTGATAAGAAATGCACTCATTACCTTGCTCATGTATCTGTAACCCCTCAGTACAGTATTTTCACAATAAAAAAACTTATTTAAAAAAATAATAGGGGCTGGGTAGGTTGCTCAGTGGTAGAGCGCTTGCCTTGCATGCCTGAGGCCCTGGGTTCCATTCCTCAGCACCACATAAACAAAAAGAAAAAAGCCGGAAGTGGCGCTGTGGCTCAAGTGGTAGAGTGCTAGCCTTGAGCTGAAGAGCTGAGGGACAGCGCCCAGACCCAGAGTTCAGGCCCCACAACCAGACCCAAAAAAACAAAAAACAAAACAAAACAAAAATAATAATGATTAGGATGGGTTAAAAATTGCTTATCAGCTTGTTCACAGCACAGAGTATATGTATCAAACCCCCTCAAACTAGAATAAATCATAGTGATTTTACTAAGCTAACAAAGGGAAAAAAATTCATTCAAAACATTCATGAGGTATTAACTAATACCACTTGGCAACCTGCACAAAAAAATCCAAGATCTTCTGAAAACTACCCAATTGGTTCATTTGTTGCTAACAAAAATTCTTGATAATAAAATATATCCCTTTATCTTCCTGCATCTGAGTTTCTAAGTTATTAGATTGATTTAAGGACTCCAACAGTGGCAATTGTGTCTGTCATTTAAACGCTTCCTACAGTCTACATTTTAGGTTCCCTCTTATTCCGAGGCTTCTTAGCTAAGAATAAGAACAGAGAAAATTAATCACCAATGTACCCCAACAGAACTGTTTAATATGACTCAACACTGCATGAATCTGTCTGAATGGTGTATTAAAACAAAATTAGAAGCTTCATTTGACAAATTTTTCAAAAGAAGTTAGAAAGTTTTCTAACTTAGTTCTCTATATTAAACTAATACAAATTCCTGCAGGAGCCAGTGGCTCATGTCTGTAATCCTAGATACTCAAGAGGCTGAGATCTGACAATCCTGGTTCAAAGGCAGCACGGACAAAAAAAAGCATTAATTTCCAATTAACCACCAAAAAGCTGGAAGGGGAACTATGGTTTAAATAGAGGAGCATTATTCTTGAGCAAAAAGCTCAGGGACAGTGCCCAAGCCCTGAGTTTAAGCCACATAACTGGAACGAATACATGCATGCATGCATGCATACACATACACACATACACACGCACACGCACATGCACACCCGTGCACACACACACATACACACACTCCAAACCAAAGAAAGCTGCATGTAAACTTACAGTTCATATGGTCCAACTCCCCCATGGTCCATGCTTTCATTTAACTGACCCTGAAAAAGATATGTTAAAGTTTCAAAAATAATCTTTCTTAAACATGAAATTTTAAATTTGTTCTATCTTATAGCTGATAATAAAATCAGCTTAAACCTTTTCTAAGCTTCAATAATAGGAAAGTATTGTAAACAAAATAAAGCCTATATTTTTATATATATATATTATATATATATATAAATGTGAGGGTTTTACTTTCATCTTTTTCACTTTAACTTTAAATGAGAACTACAAAGCCTACTCATTCAAGATCTAAAATAAAATCAAACGACTTCTCTTTGAAAGTTATTTATCTATTAAAAGTACATCTAATATATTATGAAATAAAGGTATTATATTCTAAGTATTAAGTCAAATGATTTACACAAAGTACTATTCTGATAACTCTTATTAGATAGACTAACACAATACTATCAATGAAAGCCTAAGGGAACCACAACTCAAGATGTGTAACATACAATGTGTCTAGTCAAGCCAAAATAATAGAGCAACTCTACCAAATAGGCATCACACACTGACTCTGATCATAGAATGAGTGAAATACTTAATTAGCCTTCTATGTGCTGGTAACAAAATGAAATTAAGGAGGCTAAGATCTGAAGATCGTGGTTTGAAACCAGCCCAGATAGGGAAGGCTGTGATACTCTTATCTCCAATTAACCACCAGAAAACTGGAAGTGGAGCTGTGGCTCAAAGAGGTGGAGTACTAGTCTTGAGCAAAAAAGCTCAAGAATAGCAACCAGGCCTTGAGTTCAAGCCACAGGGCCAACCCCCAACCATGCACATGCATGCATGTGCAAATATAATACCAACAAGAAAAAGAAAGCAAGGGGGAACAAAGGAGGAGGCAACAATGCTTGATAAGAAATGTACTCATTACCTTGCTCATGTAACTGTAACCCCTCTATATGGTATTTTCACAATAAAAAAAACTTATTAATAAAAAAAGGAAGATTAAAAAAAAGAAAGAAAAGCCGGGCGCTGGTGGCTCACACCTGTAATCCTAGCTACTCAGGAGGCTGAGATCTGAGGATCTCGGTTCAAAGCCAGCCCGGGCAGGAAAGACCGTGAGACTCCTATCTCCAATAAACCACCAGAAAACCGGAAGTGGCACTGTAGCTCAAGTGGTAGAGCGCTCGCCTTGAGCTGAAGAGCTGAGGGACAGCGCCCAGGCCCAGAGTTCAAGCCCCATGACCGACCAAAAAAAAAAGAAAGAAAGCAAGGGTTATAAATATAGCTCAGTAACAGAGTGCTTGCCTAGCACATGCAAGGTCCTTGGTCAATCCACAGCAAAACACTCACACAAACACACACTCATAAAACCCACCAAGCAAGAATATATAAGGAATATATAAAGAACTACTACAACTCACTAATAAAAAGATAACCCAAGCCGGGCACTTGTAATCCTAGCTACTCAGGAGGCTGAGATCTCAGGATCATGGTTCAAAGCCAGCCAGGGCAGGAAAGTCCGTGAGACTTTTTTTTGTTTTGTTTTGGTCGGTCTGGGACTTGAACTCTGAGCCTGGGCGCCGTGATCTTCAGCTCAAGGCTAGTGCTCTACCACTTGAGCCAGTGTCACATCCAGTTTTTCTGGTGGTTTATTGGAGATAAGAGACTCGTGGACTTTCCTGCCCAGGCTGGCTTTGAACCTCGATCCTCAGATCTCAGCCTCCTGAGGAGCTAGGATTACAGGCGTGAGCCACCAGCGCCCAGCTCACAGATATCTCACAGATATCTGTGAAACTCTTATCTCCAATAACCCACTAGAAAACCAGAAGTGGTGCTGTAGCTCAAGTGGTAACGCACTAGCCTTGAGCTGAAGGACAGCGCCCACGCCCAGAGTTCAAGCCCCACAACTGACCAAAAATAATAATAATAATACAATTTTTAAAAACTGTTTAGGGGCTGGGAATGTGGCTTAGTGGTAGAGTGCTTGCCTAACATACATGAAACCCTGGGTTCAATTCCTCAGTATCACAAAAACAGAAAAAGCTAGAAGTGGCTCTGTGGCTCAAGTGGTAGCGTGCTAGCCTTGAGCAAAAAGAAGCTCAGGGACAGTGCTCAGGCCCTGAGTTCAAGCCTCAGGACTGGCAAAAAAAAAAAAAAGAAAAAGAAAAGAAAAGAAAAGAAACTGTGACACAGGTGGTAGAGTACTAGTCCTTTTTTTTTTGGTTGGTAGTGGGGCTTGAACTTTGGGCTTGGGCGCCATCCCTGCGCTCCTCAGCTCAAGGCAAGCACTGTATGGCTTGAGCCACAGCACCACTTCCGGTTTTCTAGTGGTTTATTGAAGCTAAGAGTCTCACAAGGGACTGAGAAGGTGGCTCAAGTGGTAGAGCGCTTGCCTTGCATGCCTGAGGCCCTGGGTTCGATTCCTCAGCACCACATAAGCAAAAAAGAAAAAAGCCAGAAGTGGCGCTGTGGCTCAAGTGGTAGAGCGCTAGCCTTGAGCTGAAGAGCTGAGGGACAGCACCCAGGCCCAGAGTTCAGGTCCACGACCGGACCCAAAAAAAAAAAAAGAGTCTCACAGACTTTCCTGCCTGGGCTGGCTTTGAACCATGATCCTCAGATCTCAGCCTCCTGAGAAGCTAGGAGTACAGGTGTGAGCCACCGGCACCCAGCTTAGAGAACCAGTGCTAGTCTATAGCTGAAGAGCTGAGGGACAGAGCCCAGGCCCACGACCGGCAAAAAAAAAAAAAAGAAAGAAAGAAAACACACCATAAGTTAGGATTTGAATAGATTTTTTTTCCAGAGAAGATATACAAATGTACAATAAATATATAAAAAAGGATCAACATCATTAGCAATTAAGAGCAAACTAGAGCTTCAAGATATACCACTTTACTCATTAGGAGTGTTATAATTTTTTTTGTTTTTTGTTTTTGTTAGTCAGGGGCCTGAACTCTGGGCCTTGGTGCTGTCCCTCTGCTCTTCAGCTCAAGGCTAGTGCTCTACCACTTGAGCCACAGCGCCACTTCTGGTTTTCTAGTGGTTAATTGGAGATAAGAGTTTCAAGGCCTTTCCTGCCTGGGCTGGCTTTGAACTGTGATCCTCAGATCTCAGCCTCGTGAGTAGCTAGGATTACAGGCGTGAGCCACCAGCATCCAGTTAAGAGTGTTCTAATTTTAAAAACAAAATGGGAGCCAGGCACCAGTGGCCTATAATCCTAGCTATTCATGAGGCTGAGATCTGAGGATCTTGATACAAAACCAGCTCAGGCAGGAAAGTCTGTGAGACTCTATCTTCAATTAACCACCAGGAAACTAGAAGTGGTGATGTGGCTCAAGTGACAGAGTGCTAGCCTTGAGCAAAAAAGCTCAGGGACAGAGCTCAAGCCCTGAGTTCAAGCCCCAGGACTGGCTAAATAAATAAATAAAATTGGCTCGTTTGGATTGGAAGCATTAGAGAAAAGAGAGAACAAAAAGAAGTTTGGTAAGGATATAGAGAAACTGTAACTATCATACACTGCCAGTGTGAACATAAATATAGGGAGACTACTTCAGAACAGTTCAGCAGTCTTTTATTAAACAGTTAGTATATGCCTATTTCTAGGCATCTAGTAAAAAGATGGAATATACTAGCTACACACACACACACACAATTTCATATATATTTGTACGTAGACTCCAAAAAAACCTAGATATAACCCAAATGAAAATACAAATGAACTTCAATTAGTGAATGGATAAACAAAATGCAATATATTCATAGAATATTATTTGGCTATTAAAAAAAAAGAACGAAGTGCTGATGTTACAGTATAGGTGATCCCAGGAGGGGCGCTGGTAGCTCATGCCTATAATCCTAACTACTCAGGAGCATGGATCAAAGTTAGCCTCGGCAGAAAAGCGTGTGAGATTCCACCTCCAAAATAACGAGCAATAAAACAAGGTCAGAGATGTAGCTCAAGTGGTAGAGCACCAGGCAAGCAAGCAAGCCTAGCAAGTATAAGGACCAGAGCTCAAACTCCAGTATCAGCAAAAACACAAAATACAGCAACAATACAAGATGATCCTCAAAATCGTCATGTCAAGTGAAAGAAACCAGACACAGAAATTATACACTGTGTGGTTCTATTTATATGTAATGTTTGGAAAATCTCAATCTATGAAGATGACAAGTAGATTATCCAGCCACCTAGAGAGAGGGGTAAGAATAAAGAATAACTGTATTTGTACAACTACTTCAAGTTAGTACTCATTAAAAAAAATTAAAAAAAGAGGGCTGAGAACATGGGAACATGCATGAGGCTCTGGGTTCGATTCCTCAGCACCACATAAGCAGAAAAAGCTCGAAGTGGTGCTGTGGCTCAAGTGGTAGAGTGCTAGCCTTGAGCTGAAGAGCTGAGGGACAGTGCCCAGGCCCAGAGTTCAGGCCCCATGACCAGCAAAAAAAAAAAAGAATAGCCGGACGCTGGTGGCTCACACCTGTAATCCTAGCTACTCAGGAGGCTGAGATCTGAGGATCACGGTTCAAAGCCAGTCTGGGCAGGAAAGTCTGGGAGACTCTTATCTCCAATTAATCACCAGAAAACCAGAAGTGGTGCTGTGGCTCAAATGGTAGAGCGCTCACCTTGTGCTGAAGAGCTCCAGGCCCAAGCTCCAGGATTGACAAGAATAAAAATAAAAAATCTAAAGGAGTCTCTTTAGGGTGATGCAAATATTCTAAAAACTTAATTGTGATGAGCTATACATTTCTGTAAATATGCTCTAAGTCACATATAATTATAAAAGCAAAAGAACAAAATTTTGGCAACAGAAATTCAGTTCCTGATATAAAGTACAGCTTTAAAATGAGTAGTCTTTTTTTTTTAAGGCCCAAGAGCTGGACTCAAACTTGGTACATGCCACTTTCACTCATTGGCTAGCATTTTACCAACTGAACCACGTCTTCAGCCCTTAAAATGAGTAGTCTTGCATATAGTCTGATTATGAATCCTTTCAGTTTAAACAAAAAAATTGAGAATAAACTCTAAAAAGATAGAAATCTTCAAGTAATA